CCTCTGGAGGTGTGCAGAATCCTCGGGCATTCTGCTGTTTCAGAAAGCACACCTTGTAAGTGTGGTTTGTCAAATCACAATTAGGGAAAGGGTCTTTTCAAATATTATTCACATCTCATTTTATAGTCCAGGGCCACCCTGACATTTCTTACTTGATACAAATTTCATGCTCACGTACTTCCTAGTACAGTCTATCCACCCCAATGGACCGTTTTACTCTCATACCACCTCGAAACAAATACTGTAACCTGCTAGCCAGCACTCAAAATGCTGACTCTGAAAGTATGTCATGTATTCACATAGTGTGGGCAGGCATGTCACTGATTATCAGGACCCTGGCAGGGGTAACACTTCTTCCACATCCAGAATTGAGAAAAATAGAGTGACAAAGAAAACAAACCCTCACTGTGTTTTATTTCCCGTGTCATGTTGTACATGCCAACATATTTTCTCCTTCACGTCCACTCTTGGAATACTCTCTCATTACAGGAGCGGTGAGTCATTGTTGCGACCTGCTCCACCCATGAGTATAAGCTAAACTATGGACATCTTGAGTTCTCAGGGGGTTATTTATCTTGGGAAGGTTGATCACACTTTGCATGATCATATGGTACAGATGTTTATTCATGAAGATGACCTCAAGTGAAGCAAGAAATTTCTTGGTCTGGCTATTTAAAAATTCAGCCAAATGTCCACCCAGTGAGCAAACCCCAGTTCCAGAAGAAATTAAAGCTGAGATGAGCAGAAGTGTGATGGATCAGGACTGATGTACGCTGACAGACTTGAGTGAGAGGTCTCGAGACAGACAAAAGGGTGTGTGCTCACTGATGGTGGGTGGGGGGGCCAGGGAGTAATCAGGGCAGAATTACAAAGGGAGGGGATAAAGTAGCACTTATATGCTTCTTCTGTGAATCCAAGCTTCTTTCATTTCCTCTGGGTGAGAATTACATCCACCATGTAATAAAAACCTAGAGACTCAGTCACTCTTACAGACCCCACTGTCACTGCCAGCCTTCAGCAAATCTGCCAAATGGAGAATGCTGGGACCTTCCAGACTCCTCCTCCTTCCATTAGGCCCTGCTATTCAGGCCTTTCCCTCAACCACATCTTAATTTCTCCCTTTAGCACTGTGGTTTTCCAAGTGTGGACTCTGGACTGGCAGCATCAGCATCACCTGAGCGCTTGTCAGAAATGCTAATTCCCAGGTGCCACCCCAGACCTACTGATTAAGGAACTCTAGGGGTGGGATCCACAAATCTGTGTTTTCTCAAGGGCTCCGGGTGATTCTGAGGCACACTAGAGTTTGAGAACCGCAGCTTTAGATGACATTAAGATGAGAGAGCATGGGGGCACCTGGGTGGTTCAGTCGGTTAAGCGTCTGCCTTCGGCTCAGGTCCTGATCCCAGAGTCCTGGGATCGAGCCTCACATCAGGCTCCCTGCTCAGTGGGGAGGCTGCTTCTCCCTCTCCCTCTGCCTGCTGCTCCCCTACTTGTGCTCTCTCTCTGTTAAATAAATAAATAAAATCTTTAAAAAAAAAAAAAAAGATGAGAGAGCATGTGCATTTTAGGAGAGGACTTACAAAGAAGGGAGTAATTTTCTAGCAGTGGAATCTCAAGTCATGTGACAGATAGTGAGAGATATTTAAGGCTGCTGAATTCGTTCGGGCCCTTACCATCTCACTTTTAATCTCACCTATTTCAGTCTTCTCCCCACATTGCCACTAGAGACATGTGCTTGGCCTGAAAAATCTGACCATGTCAAACCCCAACTTAAAAACCCTTCAGTGGCTGCTCCATGCCCATAAGATAAAGTTCCAAACCCCTGGCACAGGACCCAGGGCCCTTCATCATCTGCCTCTGGGCCACCTCCCTGGCCGTTTCCTTCTGCACTTTCCCTCCTACTCAGCCATACCTCACTGTCTGCAGGAGGTTCGTATTTCCCCATCCCACTGACATGGGGTTTGGCTATGTGACTTACCTTGGCCAAGAGTATAAGAGTTGAAGTGATGTCTGCTGCTACTTCTGAGCAGATATTAAGTGCCATACTTTTGTTTTATCATGTTCTCTTTTTTCCCATTCCCATAAATAAGATCAGTATTGTCCCAAAAAGAGGCTGTTTCTTAAGCCTCGGTGGGGGGTGTGTGTCTCAGAATGAAAACAGATAAGGAGCAGAACCATAACTGACCTGCACTGGACTTGCAGCATAAGTGAGAAATAAGCCCTGTAAGTCACTGAGATTTGGGGGTTATTTGTTATTTTACTTAAGCTGACCATTACGGCACATTTGATCCCCCATATTCCCTCTGTCTGGAATGTCTTCCTCCTCTGTTCTACCTTTCCTTCCAATCCCACCTCAATCCTATCTGCACAAGAGATTTGCTCATCTTTCTACACTCAGCTCAGGTGTTATCCCCTCAATCAAGTCTTTTTTCGTTCCTAAGTATAACTGATCAACTCCTACCTGTAGGATCCCCTTTGGATGCTACAGACCTGTAATTATGTCCTTGGAACTTTGCATTCATTAGCACCATCTTTAGAACAACTCCTCTTAAAAAAAAAAAAAAAAAAAAAAATGAGCCGTCATTTTACAGAGTGGGAGACTTTGGCTCAGAAAAGCAAGGCAACTTGTCTACGTTTCCCAGCCACAGAAACAGTTTTCACCGAGTGTGGGTCTGGCTCTGAGCTCAGCAATCTTTCTCGTGCCCCACACACCTCCCTCCCTCCTCCATCAGCAAGCTTTCAGATCATCCCATTCTGGTGGAGAGAGTAAAAGTCTACTTATCAACAACTTAAAAGGTTGTGGAATTAATTTGACACTTGAAAGACTTGCATCTGGAAGTGGGCTTCTTACCCCCTGAGAAGATAATCACTTCCTCTAAGTGGATGGATTTATTCGAAGGTTCTTGGCAAAAGCACTGGGGTGCTTGCAGAACTGAAGCATTTTGTCTGTACCTTTCCCAGGTAGTGTGGTGTGCTAAGCCAGGCAGACTCCCACTGACACTGCCTTGGGAACCTTAGGAAAGGTCCTTTTGGGTTTGTCACAGGATAGGATGTTAAGGAGCAGAGGGTTCAGAATTCCAAGTAAGTCAGCTACATATTGATATTTTTCGGTAAATGAACAAGGAAAAGAACAAGGATAGAAAAGTGACACAGTGGCAAAGAACTGCACCAGACCACCCCGGTCAGACACCGGCATAACTGCCTAAAGTGGGAAGGGCAATTTTAGGTTTCTATGAGCTGCTGGCTCTTTGTTGTGCGGTTGGGCTTTTTATTTGTTTTTCTCCTCCTTTCCCACTCTTTAAACTTGTCTAAGGGAGGACTGGAAAGTATAAGAACCTTCAAATCCTCCCCCATCAGCCATACCAATCAAAGATGAGCAGTCAACAAAGTACCAAGATATTCTTCTCACACGACACTCATAACAATTTTTTCAAGATTACAAAGCTTTTCTCAGTTACTAATTGGAATCCATTTATCTTTCACCATTCCTATGGAGTTTTTTTTAATCCCTCAAAGGATGTATTACCTTTAAATGATACCATCAGAAACATTAATAATAGCATTTCTCCCCTTTGAGTTTAGAAAGCTGTTCAGAGCTCCAAATGGTCACTAGGCCAGTTAGGACACATCTGATTTACTCTTTAAAAGACCATCCACTTCGTATAACAAATAAGAGCCAGCATTTACTGGGTACTTAGCACTGGGCTCTGTGTTTTTCGGGCATTGGTTTACTTAATCCTCGAAAGGAAGCTATCGAGCAGGTGAAATCACTTACCGCCACCTTACAGATGAGGAGAGTGAGGCACATAGAGCATGAAGGATCTGAGAGTGAGGCACATAGAGCATGAAGGATCTGCCTGAGAGAAAGGCTGTCTCTCCCTTTCAGAGGCCAGTAGCTGCACAAGACGACAGTTAATGATTCACCCACAGCCCTTAGGGAGCTCCTTTCAGTAGGGACAACACATGCACTTAACACATTCTCTCTCTCTCTCTCTCTCTTTCCCTCTCTCTCGGTCTCTCTCTATCTCTCATCTTCAACTCTTCTTCACCCAGCAAGAGGCGGGTGTCCAGCAAATTGCTTGGCAACGCGCGTAGGAAACTCCATCCAAAGCCCGGGTCTGCCGGGTCCAGGCCGCCTCTGGGCGCTGTCCAGCGGGCAGCGCGCCTGAGAGGCCAGGCAGGGGTCCTGTCTCCGGACACCCCGAAGGTGGGGCGGAAGCCAAGGCCGGGATTTCACGCGGGGGGGGGGGGGGGTGAGGCACCGTCCCCAGGGACACCTGTTGTCGCCTCCCCACTCGGGCCAATAAAGATGTCGCGGGGACTCACATTTCAGGGAAGACACCCGTCCTCAAATAGTGTCCGCGTAGGGGTGAGGGGTTCGCAGGTGTCTTCCCCGACACCCCCCCACCTCGCCCACCTTGGGCGGGCTCACCTCACCCCCTCCCACCCCTCGACACCGCGGGCTGGTGGAAATGTCGCGCCTCCCCGGGGCTCCGACCGAGGAACGCGCGGAGGTGTGGGGGCCCGCGGGGCGAGGGGCAGGGCCCGAGGGGCGAGGGGCAGCACCCGCGGCGCTAGGACCTCGCGGGCGGCCCGCCCCCGCCCCCACCCCTCGCTCGCTCCACCTGCGGAGCCCCACCGGCCGGGCACGCTCGCCCTCCACCGCGGGACGCGGGCGCTGTTACCTGCGACGCCGCCTGCAGGCTCCCAAGCGTCGGCCGGAACGCCGCCGCGGTACAGCGAGCAGGGCTGGCCGGGGGATCCTCGCCCGGCCCCGCGGCCCTCGCTGCCCTCCCTCGCGGTCGCAGCGCCGCCGCCTGCTCCCGACTCTCTAGGCTCGCTCCGCGCCCGCCGGCTCCTGGCGCCGCTCCCGCCGCTCCTGATTGGCCGCGGCGCGCGCCCGAGCCGCGCCCTGATTGGGTGGCCGAGAGCCGGGGCGGTGGGATGGGCGGGGCGCAGCCTGGACCTGCTCCCGGTGCCCCCGGCGCCGCTGTCTCGCGTCCCCGCTGCACCTCCGGACCGAGACAGACACGAAACCGGGATCCTGCCCCTCTGCGCCGAGTGAGGCCGGTTGTGGAAGCACGCGATGGAGCGGAAAGTAGCACAAGTAGCGTGAGGGTGGCGGGGAGTGGGGATCGCCCTGGAGTCTCTCCCACACCCCATACCAAGGCTGGGCGGCGGGGATCCTTGCTTCTCCGGCCTCACTCCTACATGGGGTTTTGACTTCGTGTTCATTTTTATACATTTTACTGAAAAAAAGGCGTAGGACGCAGGACAGTGGCTTGTAAACAGTGGGCGCCAAACTGTGTTTGTGGACTTAGGTTGGACTTGACGCACAATCTATCTCCGTGTGGTCCAACCAGAGTTCCCAAAAGGGAAGCGACTTGTGCGAGGTCCTAATCACGTTAACAAATTAGTAAGAGCGAGAAAGATGGTGAGATAGATCTTCATTTACAAGGACCTTAATACTTAGCTAGGGAGACAAGGCTAAATGATAATGGTAATTGTAATAATAATAATTATAATAATAATAACCCTAACTTTTCTATGGCACATATTGTTTGCCGGGCACTTTTCTAAGTGCTTTGCATATATTAATACATAAGTACAATAAACAGCTGATCTAAAGATGTCCACATGTCCTGTGAAACGTATGACCAAGTGACATCAGCCTAGAGTGTAAGAGATTTTCATCTGGAAGACACACCAGCAGTCATTCCACACTGCAGTTAAGAGACGCAAGTTAGAACGGAGAGAGAGCATAGCGAATTAAAATTGTTCCTATCTTCCATTTCTTCTCCCATAGTTCTTTATCCCTCCCAACATTTTGTCTCACCTGAACTGGGCCTTTCTAAAGAATAGGAAGAACCACTATAAATTCAGCGTTCTGCCAGAACTTTGTTTTACCACTCATAAAAGGAGCCCCCTCTAAGTATCCAGGTAACAGTGAGTAGAAAAAAGTAGCACAGTTTATATTTTAGCATCTTTGACTTTGGTTGCGCTAATACCTTGAAAACAAATATGTAACCATTTTCCTACAAGTATTTCCTCTAGTTCTATTCTCCTATGTTGACAGAACTCTAGAGGGAGAAATTTGGGTTGGTAGAGAAAGACCGGAGTGAAAACCAGCTTGACCGACTCTGAACAGCTTGATTTTTACCCTAGAGTAAGCTTAACGTCATTTACTTTGAGGAGCCCAGGACCCTAGAAGGAAATTAGCTCAGTTTGCCCAGTTTATTTCAATGGATGAGCGATCAGTTCACTCTATATTGAAAAGATGGACTGGCCTGGGTGGAGCCTCACCTGATGGGAACACCATAGCAAAATAGACTGTGTGAGGAAGGTTCTTATACCAGCATCCCTCTCCAAGCTTCAGAAGCACAAGGAGACATCAGCCCATCATTCCAGTTGCTCACTTTTCATAGCTGTGGCTTTTGCCAAAGCAGAAGTTCCATTTGGATTGGTCACACTATCACTCCAAAGAAGAAAGGCTATTTTAGGTGGAGAACTATGTTGACCCAAGATAATTTCTTAAATCAATAGCCCTGGTTGCATCACACTAAACTTAGCCTTCTGAAGGATAAGTGAAAGAAGAATCTGGATTCCACTATGACTACCCTGGAATCTTCTCGTGGGCAGGAACTGTTTATGAATCTGTCTGTCCCCTATCTCATCTCGCAAAATGTTTGCTTAGTTGTGCCTCCTGCATCACATTTCTTCTGTGGTGACTCCTATTTAGCACTCAAGACTCAACGAAAATGTCCTGTCCTCGGTGAGGCTTTCACTAACTGTCCCAGGCAAAGGTAGTGATCCCCTTGCCCCTGTTATATTCTCATTCCAGTACAAAGCAACAATATTCCAACTCGTTACCAATGCCTGGCCTAGTACATGGAACTCAGTAGCAAGTACTCAACAAACTGATTGACTAAAATTCCTTACAGGTAATAGAGTGGCATTAAGGAGACTGGGGCCACATCCCTATGCCGTTCAACAGGGCATCCTCCAGTGCCAGGCTGGCTGGATATTTGATGGTAGTCAAAGTAATCATCTGCCCAGTCTAATAGTGAATAGGTAGTTTCTATATGTTAGGCACTGTCAGGTAAAGAGAAGAATAAGGTCTGACATCTACACAAGATGAAATGATGCAGCTAATTTAGAAAATAGTTTGGTGGTTCTCAAAGAGTTAAACAGAGTTACCTTAAGACCCAGTAATTCTACTCCTTGGTACATACTCAAGAGAATTTAAAACATATGCCCATGCAGAAACTTGTACGTGAATATTCTTAGCAACATTATTTATAATAGCTATAAAATTGAAATAACCCAAATATCCACTAGCTGATGAATAGGTAAACAAAATGTGGTACATCCACACAATGGAATATTATTCAACCATAAAAAGGAATGAAGACTGATACATGCTACAAAATGGATGAACCTGGGAAATATTATGCTAAGTAAAAGAAGCCAGAAACAAAAGGCCACATATTGTATGTTTCCATTTAGATGAAATATCCAGAATAAGCAAATCTATATAGACTGAAAGCAGATTTGTGGTTGCCAAGGGGTCAGGGGAAGGAGAAATGGAGAGTGACTGCTGAGTGGATATGGGGTTTCCTCTTGGGTTGATGAAAATGTTCTGGAATTAAATAGTGGTTATGGGTGCAAAACTTTGTGAATATACTAAAAACCACCGAGCTGTAAAAAGCAAAACAAAACGTGCACACAGCAGGCATTCAGAGAGTTTGGAAACCATCAATGAAGAAAATGTTAGTTAAATCCTGAAGTGTTAGTAACCGACAGTGTAAAAGTGTAGAAGAACAGAAAAGCCTATAAAACACAGTTAAAAGTTGGCTTGTCTCACCTCCATGCTCCCACCGTCAGCAACCGAGAGGGGATTTACTCCATAGATCCGCATTGTCCAATCAAACATTCTATAATGGAAATGTTCTTTATCTAAGCTACCCAATTTGGAAGCCACTAGCATATGTGGCTATTGGACATGTGAAATGTGGTTAGTACCACTGAAGAACTGAATTTTAATTGCATTTAAATTTAAATAGCCACATGTGGCTATTGGCTACTCTAAGTGTAGCTTTTGCTGGTTTAGAGGACTGAAGTCATCCTAACTGGCCATATGGAAAAATACTGGAGGGTATCAGAGTGGGAGAGTCAATGTCTTTATGTTCCCTAGCCTGACTCCAGCCTGTATCCACTAGAAATCCTTCAATAAGATCTCACCGCTCCCACCCTTCTCCCTTCTATGAACACTTAATGAACTTCAGTCAATAATACAGCATTTAGTTTTGTTTTTATGGCAAGGTGCTTCCATTCCACAAATATTTATGCACCACGCACTCTGTGGAATTCTGGGAAGAGGGACTGTAGACAACGTCAGCCAAATTCCAAAGGGTTGGTCTCAAGAAGGCAGGCAGGGAGAAGACACAAGAGAAATCCCTCATAAGGACCTGGCTCCTTACTTCCTTCCCTCCAGTATCCCCCCCCCCACACACACACACTCTATTGAGTGGGAAATCTTGCTATTAGGATGCTGAAGTGATGTTGAAGAATCTTTATTTAGATTTCCTGTTTCCAAGCGAAGCCTTGTAACATCCTTAACTCCTTCAATACACCTTCGAGTTCATGTTGATCTTTCTCTTCTTTGAACTTTCACTGAATTTGAAATCGATCAAATGTAATGACTTTCTAAGTGTTCTTCCTTAATGTGGTGTCCCCACAGCAAGATTCATTTGTTGCACAAATGTTTATTGAGCTTCTGCTTATTTTTCTGCCAGAACAGTCCTAGGAGCTGTGGATAAAAAGAAAGATAGGGTCACTGGGAAGTTTAGAGCCTAATGAAGAGGCACACAAAGAAATTATTCTGCAAAGTTTGGCCTAAATGTGTAGGAAGTTTCATTGAAAGCCCAGGGCAAGGAGCAGCTGGGTGTACACAGAAATCAGGGAGGGTTTCTCAGAGGAGGTGACATTTAAGCTAAAGGAAATTGAAGGACGAGTAAGTTTTTAGAACATTTTTAAAAATGTAATTCATTTATACTGCCCACCTTCCAAAATTGTATTTGAGGTAGTATATTGGAAGTTTTGAGGACCAATGTTTGAAAGAATGAATTAACATCAAGATCCAATTCAACATCTGTGACAGTGTTTTGCATTGCTGATAAGGGTACTAACTGGACGGTCATTCTTGTTGCCTGAGTGCAAGGCTTATTCCTGAGTGCAAAACAAAAGAAATATAAGGCTCTCTGATCTCAAGGAATTCAAAATCTCTCTTCCTCTACTATTGCAATATCCTTCTTACCGGTCTCTTGTGTTTAATCTTATTTTCTTCTTTTCCAGTGTATCCCAAATCTCAGTCATTTGTGTCTCACTGTCACTAGTCTTTCCATATCCATGTATCATCTGCACTATCATGTACTTTTTTCTTTGCATTGGCTCTCCTCTAGCTCAGCTTCATTGAAAAGGAATTTTTATCTCATTACCATCCGTGAAAAACAAGTATCACTTGCCATAAATAGAATGTTAACCACAAAAATAGTACAATGAAAGTAAAACCACATTATCTAATCTTAGCTGGCTATTGTTGGCTGCAAAAGTTCGGAGTTTGAGGCCCTGCTCTTTCTTTCATAAAGAGAAATATCAAGAGAGGTATTAAAGACATCAGCACCAAAGTGATCATTTCTCCTTGGCTAAATCAAACAGACTGAAAGAGAATTGCAAAAAGAATAACTCTCTCACTACCTGAGCTAATGAAATTTAATGTCCCTTTTCCATTCCACTTACAACCAGCTACAACCAGCTTCTGCACCAAATAAAGTCTGCTCATGCTGGGTACCACATATTTGTAAACACTGCTCTGATCCATCCTTCTCATAGGTATCTCATAGGTATCAGAATGATCTAACTCAATGTGATTATTTCTCTCCCCTATTCAAAATCCTTCAATAGGATTTCATTACCTAAGAAATCTTAGTTCCTTACCATGGGTTACAAGATCATCCTGGATCAGGCTTAGCCTACCTCTCTACCTTCAACTCTTATCCTCTTTAACTTTATTCCACCAATACAGAACTATTTGTAGTTCTCAGAGTGCACCATAGACTCTCATGTCTCTGTGCTATTCCCTCTACATGGCATGCTATTCCCCAACTACACCCACCTTATCATCTTTCATTTCCCTTCTGTGCTCATTTCTATTTATCTGCCTAGTACCCTACAAATACATAGACATACACACACGTGCACATAGCAAGACATATCAGCTCCAAACCACAACAGGATTCCTTCTAAAACACCTGCCTCTTTTTTTCTGGGGGATCTTCTTCCACTGCCTCACCCATGTGTCTCTGTCAGGCACTGACAAATTCTCACATGACTCCACACCTCTTATCACAGCTGGTTGGTCTACAGGTAGTCCACTGAACCAGGGTGAGCCAGCCAAAGTTCCTGAGAATTTCCTATGAAGAGCAAAAAATTGGCATCGCTCTTTCTCTGCCTTAAGATGCAGAGAGAAACAGGCAAACAAAGCAGAAAGAGATTCTCCACTCCATTTGTGCTGTAGACCAGCTATTTCCTTGCCCCTCCTTCTTTCAAGACATTCACCTTTTCCTTTTATGTTGTGAAAGAGACCCAATATCTTTACAATTCAGTCTTTTTCCTAAACTATTTTTAGTTGAGTTTGTTATTTATCATCAAGTATCCTAATACATTCCTAATCATCCTTGAAGTCCCAACACAAATGCTACTCTTTTGTGAAGCCTTCCCTGTCTCTTCCAAGCCAACAAAGGTGCCCCTTCTTTTATGCCTTCCTGCATCTTGTAACACTGGACCCAATTTCCAACAAGTATCTTTGTCATCTTGACATTTTTGTGTGAGAAATGGTGTTCTGTCTTCTTTGCCTGTTTTGATTATTCCATTTACCACCTGATGGGAAGGGAAACTTAGACCATAACAACCTATTGACACTATGCCCTAAGTAAAGTCGATATTGAGTGAAAAAAGGGCTTTTAAGTTTCAGATGTTCCACTATGAAGAATTTTTTTAAGCACATTGAATCCTAAGAAGAACTTTAAAAAACTGCCAACTGCAAGAACTCTCTTCCGCTGCTCAACCAGGATGGAACTAGAAATGCACCCCATAAACAGCAACCACCAAGGGGGAGATGGTACCTGGATATGCAGCAGAAAAGACTGAGGAACACACAGAGGGGAGATTCAGAGAAAGAAGGGAGGTCTGGGAGAGAAGGGACTGTAGGACCCTATCTGTCATTGAATCTCTGTGAATGAGAGGCAGGTCCATAAAGGAATGTTTTCCACCATCCATGAATGTCCATCTGTGATCGTACTTGGCCAAATAAGATTGAATTCTCTTAGGTAATTGACTGGACCTATGCACCTTTTCAAATGTTACTAGGCATCATGGGGTCATATCTGTTTGCATATTTATTTCTTTTCTAGACTGGAAGCTCCTTTTCAAAAGAGATTCTTTCAATCTCGGCATGTTGGTCATCAACGTCTAGCCCACTCTTGAGTTGGATGATTATAGCCTATGTTTAAGTTAGGAATGCTTCCCAGCTGCAAGTATCAGAATAACCAGTTATAATGGTTCAAGCAGTAAAGACATGTAATTGTCTGACATAAACAGTCTGGATGCTGGCAGCCCCAAGGTATGATGTTCCATGACATCTAAAGGACCTAGGCTCTTTCTGTTCTTCCACCCTTGGCTTTTGACTTTATCTTAGGCTGCTTGTCTTGTGAATGCAAGATAGTTGCCACAACTCCAGGTATCTCATCTTTAGAAAAGCATATACAAGAAAGGAAGAAAGTGGACTGAGGTGAGAGAGAAGTTTTCCTTTATCAGGGAGGAAAATCTTTCTCAAACACCCCTTCCTCCCCATCTGGTAAACTTCCCTTTATATCCCATTGGCTAGAAGTGAGCTGCATGGCCATCCCTAGCTGCAAGAGAGGCTGGCAAAACTAGTGCAGTCTAGGGCTTTTCCATAACTGTGAAAAGTACTTGTATTGCTCGCAGTATTGCCCTTAGTAAATGGGGCACTGGCTTTCCCCACAATTTTCCTATTTGTTCTGGAGACTGGCTAGGGCTAACACGCTATCTAGTTGGGGTATCTTGAGCCTAGGCAAAGATCCAAATGTACCTCTTCCCTCATTACATTTCTTGCTTTGGGCACTCTTGGACCCTCTATTCTGCACATGGAATTGATGAGAGGCCCTGAAAAGCTCTTAGATTCATACCTATGGGATCTCTTTAGTAGCCCATGGCTGGATCCTCCATCCAGGAGAGTGACCTGGAGCGTAGATTGCCTCACTGGCCTCTGTGTTACTTCCTTTGCAGGACTACCCAAGATTGGGCTGCCAGAATGGTGCTGGCATGCTGATTTGGGGTGACTCTCACATCATACACAGGATGAATTTAGGGCTCTGGGTTACTGACAGTTCTCTGCCAAATGTTGGCTTAAACTTCATGTGTAGGCCATGCATTGGTCTTGACTGGCCATATTCCAACTGCAGTGCTGCTTCTGGTCTACCTGAGGGCACCTGGGGTGGGGGCAGGCATTCTTCACTCTGTGCTGTCACCCAGGGCAGTTACCCCATCCTCTCCATGGGTTTCCCACCAGGTTTTCAGGGGTGGTGAATCCCTCCCAGGGATTTCCAACTCCACAATGCCAGCAGGCCCTTCTGATTGGGGTCCTCTCTTGCCTCTGACCGATGCAGTGACATCTTGCCCTCCCTGGTCAGTCTTCAGCCATGTAGATGAGGGATGGATATTCCTTGTGCTCTTCTCATCCATCCTCTCCTCCCCACTAGGGGCAGTGTGTGCAGGCAGGGGTGTGGTCAACACTGAGAGAGATAGCATTCTAGGAATGCAGTGATTAGATATGTGGCGTTCAAGAGAAGACCTGGCTGGAAGATGTGTTTTCTACCTTGATAAGGTTGCTGTGAGAGTCAAATGAGATTGAACCCCTGAGTATCCTTTGTGATATATACAACTGCACACAGATATTATTTTTATTAGTTTTACTTGAAATATAAGAAAACTAAGAAGGAGGAAACTAAATGACCCCCCAAGATAAAGAGGCACCATGGGAATATTTTTGGGAGGGAAAACTGATTTTAGACAACCTGGGATTGACCCCCAGCTCTGCCTCCTCCCAGCTGTGGGATGCTAGTTTGGTTTCTGAGCCCTGGTTCCATTTTATAAAGTGGGGATAATAATAATCCTACGTTGGAGGATTTGGGTGAGCATTGAATAAGGGGATGCTTATAAAGAACTTAGCACTGTTTCTGACATATAGTAGATACTTGATAAATATTAGCTATTATTTTTATTTTACTACACAGATATTTGTAGTAGAGCTACACATCTCCTGGGATACAGCCCTGCTCTGCACTAGAAGTAAATTATAAGAAAGAATTTTCAAAATGAGATTGACAGAGGGGCGCCTGGGTAACTCTCAGTTAAATGTCCACCTCTTGGTTTGATCTCAGGGTCGTGAGATTGAGCCCTGAGGGCTCCGTGCTCAGCATGAAGCCTGCTTGAGATTCTCTCCCCCTGCCCGCCCCCCTTGCAAGTGCATACTCTCTCTCTCTAAAATAAATAAAATCTTTTAAAAAAAATGAGTTTGACAGAGGCTGCACCGATATGTTAGGGTATCTGGCATTTGAGAGACAATATAGCAGGTGGGTGGGAGCACAGATTGAGAGCCAAGAGGCTTGGGTTTGACTCCTGGCTCAGTCATGTAATAGTTGTAAGGCAAGTTGCTTAGCCTCTCTGTGTCTCAATTTCTTCACCTGTAAAATGGGTCCTTGTGAGGGGTAAGTTAAGGTACATTAAGTGCTTAGGATGGTGGGTGGCACATGGTATTAGAAATTATTCAATATTGGGGTGCCTGGGTGGCGCATCTGACTCTTGATTTCAGCTCGCATCATGATCTCAGGGTCATGAGATGGAGCCCTATGTGGGGCTCACGCTGGGTGAGGAGCCTGCTTAAGATTCTTTGCCTCCTCCCTCCACATCTCCTCTGCCTTGCCCCCTCTCTAAAAAAACCCCAGAAATTATTCAGTACTATTAATATTATAATTCTGAATTCATTTAAAATTCAAAATAAAGTTTGTTCTTAAAAATCCCAATTGGCTATTATTTCAAGGGGCCTTGATTTTAGCAACTGGAAAAAAAGAATAGCACAGAGATACATCCCATGTCTATGTGCCATTGCCTATGCCTGAAATCCCTCCTTTTGACCCGTAAAACCACTATTCTCCCCTCCCCCCGGGGCCAGAGCTCATTCTCTCCTGCTCCCATCTCTCAAGTGGGACTGATGTCTCCTTTTTAGTCATCTGTGTATTTCCTGACATTCCTGATAAATGTTTCTTAAATGGAAAGCTGAAAGAGAGTAAGGTGCATCATTTTAAACTCTTGTATTTTGCAGGCGAATGCAGAATTGTGATTCATCGTGGAACTGACACGCTTCCTGTCAGAGGATGAAGGGACTGGCGGAGGCCTTCAGGAGATGGTGCCTCTAAACCCCAGGGGGAAAACACGCGAAGAATAACAAACCATCCCATCTTTAACGAGAAAGAGCTCCAGCTCTCATGGCTGCAACAGTCAGGTAACGTGAACCAGAGTGGGCGGTAGGTCCAGGAAAGTTTTCATCTGAATCCCAATTCTGCCATTCAGTGGCTGGTGGGCCTTCGAACCAAACATCTGAGCCTATTTTCTTACCTATAGAATGAGGGCAATACCAGCCTCAAGGGGGAACTTTAATGATGAAATGAGATAATGCAATGCCTGGCACGTAGAAAATGCTTAATGAACTGTTAAGTGAACGAATGGTGCTTTAAAACAAAACGAAACAGTACCATTATTGGCTGAAGCTACACGACCCTTAAAAGCACAGGGTTGCTTAACCTTGTACACAACTTGTCCTTCTCAAGCATATCGTTCCGCACATCGTCCAGGGCGGGGCCTTCACACGGCTTCTCAGACACTTAATCTGGGGCTATTCTGCAATCAAGAAGCCCAGGCAGGCGGAGATTTGGCAAACCCCTTCCCCAAGCCCTTCTCTTCTCCAGCTGGCTCAGAAAAGCTTCCATGGCAATGATAAGAACCTACTCCCTTTTATTGTTTTTTTTTTCCCCAGTGATGGAGCAATCACATGATTTCAACAGGAAAAACAACTCTGGAGTCAGAGACTGTTTGGATTGAGCCACAGACCTTCTGATCTGAGTCCCTGGAGAGAAAAGACATTCAAGGCTGGTGGGATGGGGGACAAGCTGGACAACAAGCCTGGCCAACACATGCTAATACCAGGCTGGCCAAATGAACAGGTTCTGTCTCAGGATCAAAAGCAATTTTTTTTTTTAAAGATTTTATTTATTTATTTATTTGACAGAGAGAGTAAGAGAGGGAACACAAGCAGGGGGAGTGGGAGAGGGAGAAGCAGGCTTCCTGCAGAGTGGGGAGCCCGATGTGGGGCTCGATCCCAGGGCCCTGGGACCATGACCTGAGCCGAAGGCAGACGCTTAACCGACTGAGCCACCCAGGCGCCCCTCGAAAACAATTCTAACGAGGAGCTCATATTTCCTGAGTGCTGAGGACCAGGCACTTTACAGGTGTTGTCAAATTTAATGATCACAACACTCTAAAAGGAGAGTTCATTATCTTCATTCTATCAGTGAGGAGAATGAGGCTCTGAGAGGCGCCCCTGAGGAGCACACAGGAGTCAAGAGCTTTGCTAGCATTCCACACATTTTACAAGCCCCCAGAACCTGTGTGTTATCTCCTGGCCCCACCAAACCCTAAAGAGCCCACAGATCTCTTGGGACCTGGGGGGGGGAGGAAAGCAAGTTCTGAATTACTAGGTCCAGGATGGGGCGTAAGACTCTGCATCTCTAACAGTCTTCCAGGGGATGCTACAGATCCAGGGACTTTAACTGCAGTACCCACTGGTCTTACCCCAGTGGTCTCCCACTTTGGCCGCACATTGGAATCACCTGGGAGCTTTCCAGGATGCCTAGACCTCATCCTAGACATTCCAATTTGATAGGGTACAGCTCTGCGCGGGACTGCCGAAACTCCCCGGTGACTGCTCAACGGCTGGTGGCCTCCGGGGCCCACCAGACCGCCCTTCGTTGAGGGGTGGGGGTGGGGGGTACTTTCTGCAGGCTCCTGAGGCTCGGGGGTCACCCTGCGCTCCCCTTTCCCAGACACAGGCTCTAAGGCTGGGCTCTGAGGTCGCCCTTGCAATGGCCTGTCTCAGCAAACTCCCAGCCTAGGACGAGGCCAGAACGGCCACCTGTCTCCTTGAAATAGTTCGCAGCTGTGCTGGTGACCTCACCGCCCTGGCTCCGCCTCTGGCCAAGCTGCGATCCCGAAAGCCCTCTTCCCCAGCCCTGAATTCAGGGCGGCTTCGGGCTCCCCCGCGCGGCCGGGCCGGGGAGGGAGAAGAGCCCCTGGCGAGGCCGGAGCTGCGGCGGAGGACCTGGCCGCGCCGGCACCGGGGAACCCAAGGTGGCCGGGCCGTGAGCGCGGCGGGCAGCCTCGCCCGCGCCTCCCTCCCCAGCACTTGGCAACGGACGAAAGCACACGATCTCCTCCCTTTCAATGATGTATAACAAACAAACGTTGGAGTACCCAGGCGAAAACGGAAAGGATGTCTCCTCTTCCCCTTACGCTTCCCAGAGGCAACCACAGGTTTCGGCGGGGCTCATAGCCATCCAAACCTTTTGCTATGCATAAATATGTATATTTACACAGACACGTAATTACTGTGTTATAAACAAAAGTCACCATGTACTATTTTCCCAAACACTATCTTGGATATCTTTTCCATACATACACACACACACACACACACACACACACATTATTTTAGTGTCTCAAACTTGTCTGGGAATCAGAATCTCCTGGGGGCACTTTTTAAACATACAGTCTCACCCCAGACCCGCTGAGTCAGAATTTCTCAGAGGGAGGCCTGAGGAGTTTTTAGGGATTTGTATTTTTAATAAGTGTCTTGGGTAGTTCTTTTTTTTTTTTAATTTTTAAACTTTTAGGGGCACCTGGCAGGCTCATTTGGAAGAGCATAGAACTCTTGATCTCAGGGTCATGAGTTTGAGCCCCACGTTGGGTGTAGAGATTACTTAATTTTTTTAATTTTTAGAAGTTGAGATATAATTGACATATAACATTGTATTAATTTTAGGTACAACATTTCAGGTGATTCTTATGGAAAATGTCTTGCCTTTTTAATAGTCATACATGTCCGATATAAGAATGTACCGTTGTTTAGTTATCAGTCCCCAATTGTTGAACATTTAAGCTGTTCCCAGTATTTTCTTCAAACTATACACAATACTATAAACACAGGCACTATACAGGTACTCATGAGTGTGTTTCTGAAGGATAGTTTCCAAGGAGCAGAATAGCTAAATTTCAAGCTTCCCCTGAAACTTCTTTTCCCATCTCATAGTGTTTATGTTTGAAACATGGAACCTCATAGCAGGACAGAAGTTGAAAACCTGCATGGTCAAGACACATGTCACAGACATCATTTAAGATTTTCAGTAACCACATTCATTTGAGTAATATATTTTATTTAATCTGATATATCAAAAGTATTATCCCAACATATAATCGAGTGAGAACTATTAATAAAATATTCTACATCTATTTTTCATGCTAAATCTTTGAAAATTGGTGTGAATTTTACCCTTGACGCACACCTCACCTCAAACTAGCCACATTTCGAGTATTCAGCAGTCGCATGGGGCAAATGACTATTGTATTGGACAGTGCGGATCTAGATCTTTTATTTTACTGGGGAAATATTTAGGGGGGCAGGAAATGAACAATTGTGTAGCATCTACAATGTACTCGTCCCTGAAGGGGCACTTAACATTCATTATTGTTAACTGAGGGGTGAGATTTTTGCAGAGGATTAAGCTGAATAATAGTTCAGGTGAAAGACATTCTCTCTTCAGAACAACCCTATGAAGAAGGCAGGGCATGGGTTATTAGGATGTCCATTGTTTCAACTCGAGGTTGATAATTTGTGTAGATCACAGAGCCACAAACACAGAGGAGGAACCAGAATCATGTCTTTAGATTTCAGAGCCTATGCTTTTTTTTTTTAATCCCACAGCTATCTCCACGACCGTTGTTCAAAGTCCATTCTTACGTTAATGGTGAAGAGAGACCTAGCAACAAATTAAGAGAATTACGAGAAGTCACATCATCAATCTAAATAGTGTGCCGTTCTGTAGACTCGTGGTTAAAAACATGTATGCTGACGCCTCTTGGTGGAAGTCAGAGTTATTGCAAGCCACTGGTAAATACGTCTGTGGGCCTTCCTAGTTCAAGAACTGAATATACAAAAATATGACAACTATTAGTTAAAGGTTATTGAAATAAAAAAAATGGATTCTTTCTACTGGGAAAAGTTGGGAATCATTGATGTAGATTTTTTGTCTCACTGTCAGAGGGACAGTCACAAACTGAATAGTTTCAGGTTCTGTTTCGGGTATCTTCTTTTTTAAAAAAATTTTTAAAGTGTGTATGATTGTACTTGGTCATATCTCAGTTTCTAAGTTTACTAGTGGGTGTGTTAGTGTGTCTATTCTCTGGCTAGGGTGTCAGCTCCTCAAGGGAGAAAGACTTGGAACCCTTAATTTAAGGCTCTGGACATTCTGGGCACTTGAATGAATATTATTGATTGCCTGGGGAAAAAATGGGTTAAGAGCACAAAATAAATATAGTGTTTGTAATGGAATCTATTGATTCTGCCCGCCCTAAATCCTTTTCTTTCCCCCTCAAACCACACAGCCCTAGGGAGGCTGTCAATCAGTACCCTGCTTCTGGCTGACTGGTGGGCCTAGAGATTTGGCTCTTTATAGAGTGACAGGGCTAATGCTTCATACAGCTGGGCTAACAATTTCAATTAGCTAGACCTTTAGTCTCTCTAATGTTTCAGCTTTTTCTAGTATGATTCTGAGACCTTCCTCCCCCACCCCCAGCCTAATGATAAATTCCTTTTTCATTATTTCCAGAATAAATCTAAAATATAATGTATTACATTTCCATTTAATTCTGCTTCCATTTGGAAATTTGAACAAGTTCTCATAAGCGTCAAAGGAATGGGAGACTTCGAGTTCTCAAACGTACAACCAGCTATTTTCCTCCAGAGATCAAAATGACAACTAACAACTAAATTGATAAGAATTGTCTTTTAAAATGTTATACTACGATTTGGTAATCCCCAAGGGTTTTGGCCACCAGCAAGAGCTGTTAGGTGGACAAAGAGAAACCCTCTGTGAAGAAAGTGGATTGGCTTCAGACTGGTGCCTACTGAAGCTGGAAGACTAGAAGTTCAGCCTCCTGGTGCTGGAGCCACATTGTACCCCCTTTAGTTATTAACTATGATTGCAGCAGGCTGACATGGGGAATTAGGTCCTCCATCACCCAAGAGAGACCTATTGAGGTCAGCTGCCCCGCTAACCCTACGGGTCCTACCCCTTATGACTTCTCCCTCCCTACCAGCTCCATGCTCCTGACCCATCACAACCCCTCACAACCCCAACACCACAACAGGAGGGGCTACATCCTGAGTTCCACCCACAGATCCTCAGACTGTGTCCCCATTCTCAGCAAGGATACATTGACTACAGAAAGATCTGGGTCCTTCCACCAAAGCTAAGGTGGCAGAACTGAGTTATTTTTGAAGACCATATTTGCAAGCACTAAAAAATCAAATACTGGGGCACCTGGGTGGCTCAGTCAGTTAAGCGTCCGACTCTTAATTCCAACTCAGGTCATGATCTCAGGGTCGTGGGATCAAGCCTCAGATTGGGCTCCTCGCTTAGCGGGGAGTCTGCTGGAGATTCTCTTCCTCTCCCTCTGCCTCCACCCTCCACCCTGTGCTCTTGCTCTCTAAAATAAATTTTTTTAAATCTTTAAAAAAATCGAGTATTGGGGCACCTGGGTGGCTCAGTTGTTAAGCGTCTGCCTTCGGCTCAGGTCATGATCCCAGGGTCCTGGGATTGAGTCCCGCATCAGGCTCCCTGCTCTTTGGGAGGCCTGCTTCTCCCCCCGCCCCCCCCCCCCCCGCCACTTGTGTTCTCTCTCTTGCTCTCTCTCTCTGTCAAAATAAATAAATAAAATCTTATAAATAAATAAATAAATCGAGTTTTGACAAATTCAAGGTGATATGACAATACCAACACAATGATGTCACCGCTTTTGACTGTGGAAAAGCTACCATATTCATAGTGATTCCACAACCTATGAAAAGAATGTCAGTGACCTCTATGGTTTTTTGGGTTTTGCTCATGATTTTATACAAGTTAATCATCAACAAAGTGCCCTAGTAGTGACTTTTGGACTAAGCCATGGGTTTTTATCAAGAGTGGAATCAGCGCTGAATGCATGAATCCATACTTAACACTTACTCAATACCTGTTGATGGCAACCTGATGAGTAAATTTAGAAAAGAGCTTAATGAGGCTTCATCCAAATGGGTGGCAACCTTAATGACAGAAGGGGGAAGAATCCAGCACACTGCACATGTAAAGAGCTCCTCACTGGCTTATGATATTCCATGCCTAGGAAATGAGTCTTTGAAGGCAAGAATGTTGGGGGAAGTTTTGGCTGCAGGATATTCACCAAACCAGGCAGGGACTCTTTGCCCAAGAACAGAAGTTACTGTGGCAAGTGTGAAAAGTCATTGTATAAAACCACAGTGGGGATTCACATCTGGCCATGTGGGAATTACCTGTGTGCTTAAGCAGAGAGATGAAAATGGGAAGTCCAGGAAGCTCCATTTTCGAGCTCGTCACAGAGTTTCCTTCCAGTTGGGGAGGTGTTATGGAAAACCCCACGGTGATAAAATCCGACTCCTGTGTTGTAGACACAGAAAATGGGGACAAAAGTCACCTGTGGTTCTAGCAGGTCTTAAATCCAACTACTGAGACAACGATCCTTCGATTGGTGATATAAAAGGGGGACACTACTAGTTTTGCTAGCACTGTTTAAAGAAGATGTCCCCAAAAGTATAAATGCTGTTACATTCAGATTTTTTGCTTTTTAAAAAAGATTTATTTATTTATTCGAGAGGGGGAGGGAGAGTGTGTGTGCACGTGCGTGGGAGCTCGAGTTGGAGGAGGGGCAGAAGGAGAGAATCTCAGGCTGACTCCCTTCCCAGTGCCAGCTGACATGGGGCTTCATCCCAGGACCCATGAGATCACGACCTGAGTGGAAACCAAGGGTCTCATGCTTAACCAATGGAACCACCTAGGTGCCCCCAGTTTTGTTTTGTTTTGTTTTGTTTGCTTTTAATGGAATGTTTGTATAAGCAACAGAATCACATGGTTCAGGGTATACAGTCCAAAATTTATCTCCCATCTCTGTCCTGTCATCATTCGGTTTTTTTCCTCTAAGCTCACCAATGTCACTAGGACCACATAAATCTTTTCTCTTGTGGTAACTGAGGTACACACGCATGCATATACATTCTTCCTCTCCATTTTTACGAGAATAGCACCATTTTGTAAACATTCTGCTCCTTGCATTTTTCACTTAATATATTTTGGGCATCTTGACATATTAATATGCAGAAGGGCTCCTAATTTCTTTGTGGCTACGTAGTGTCGTATTCCTTGGGTGTGGCGTAATTTGACCAACCAGTTCTTACTGATGCACATTCACAGGATCTCTCATCTTCTGCTGTTATCAGCAGTGCTGCAATCCCTTACACCACACATTCCCAACAGGGACCATATCACCCCTAAAGGGGTGTAAGTTTGTTCTTGGCAGGGGCAAAGAAATCTTCCTCTATTTATAAAGCACAGATATGCATAGTGTACATAAACACATATTCAGTATATGTGTGGTATTAAAATTTTATGAGGGTGGAGGCAGGTGATTAGAGGAAGAACAAATCTACAATGGTTCCTTAGGATACCAGCAATGAAACAAAGTGGAGAAACACTAACGCTGTCTCAGTCCCTGCTGTCAACAGGACATGGCACCTGACTTACACCTGGCATGGCCCATCTTCTGGAACTGAGCACGTTGATGTGGGAGCAAAGATGGGATGCCAGCGGCAGGAGGACGAGGGTGACTGTCTGATTTTAGTCCCCAGGCTGCTGGCATCTGGACCAGGCGCATCCTCCTCAGAGCACAAGGACCCTGGGAGCCTCCCTTCGACTGCCTTAAGGACATGGGATGGATGAATGAACACAGCATTCCAGTGACAACCTTGACTCTTTCTTGACTTATTCAAACATTTGAAATGTTAACATAGTTTTCTCTTGATTTTAGATTATCTGGATTTTAAGAAGTCCTCACAAATGTTGTCACTCGGTCAAAGTCTATTTATTCCTCCCTGCTGATTTACTCATTCGGCACCAATAACAGTTTAGGATAACGCTTAACCTCCCTTCGACATTCTTTGAGGAAAAGAGGCATGAAGGGGGAATGAATTTGCTAAGAGAGTAGAACTTAAATGTTCTCGCACACAAAAAGAGAGAGAGAGAGATCCATTTGTGAGGTGATGGATGTATTAATTAACTAGGTGGGGGATCCATTCCCAACGAATATGAATATCAAACCACCACCATGTACGCTTTAAATATCTTAGAATTGCCTATGGCAATTATACATCAACAAAGCTGAAATTGAAAAAAAAACAACAACCCCACAATTAAAAAAAATTATTGTGGGTCCTTCTCCAGTTCAGATCTGGTTAATACAGGAGAGCATTTCTCCCCTGAATACATATGGGGCTCACACATAGGCGAGCCTCCTTGTTTCCCTTGGATCCCCTTTCTGGGTCACACACAGAGATGAGGGAGCCATTTCCTTCACCACACCCAGCTGTTTCCTTTCTCAGTCCGTCAGACTTGTTTTCCTCCTAGCAAATGATTGCCACCCCTTGCCCAGCCTTCCTGGGGCTGAATCGGCTTCCTGCTTCTGACCTGCGTCTATTCTTTTCGTTCATCAGGAGCAGAGCCAGGTTGGAGGGCTGGCCAGTGGGGCGGATCCCTCAAGTCACAAGGGGCAAGAAAATGTCACCTAGATGCTAAAACCCACCCATAAAATGCAACCAACCAGACGAACGCTGTGTTTCCAAGAATTCCTCTCAAGGAGGGCGTACCCTGGAGCTGGAAGGGCTGCTTCAGGGAGTGTCCGGAGGGAGGGACAGGACCCCTCACCCACCCAGGGCACCTGCTCTGGGAGTCCTGGTGGCCACCAGCTGCCTTCCAGGGAAGAGGGTCCCTCTGACATAGAGCTTGTTTCTTGCATGAATTATGCACATTCAGGGTGAGCTGGACAGCTCAGGATGGTGAGGGGAGGCTGAGCTGCCTCCCACCTCTGCCTTCTCCACCTCCCACCCTGTTCTCTAAATGATTTTGAACAAATATTTATTTATTTATTTATTTATTTAAAATATTTTATTTATTCATTTGAGAGAGACAGAGCGAGAGAGCCCAAGCAAGGGGAAAGGCAGAGGGAGAGGGAGAAGCAGGTTCCCTGCTGAGCAGGGAGCCCGACGTGGGGCCCCATCCCGGGACCTGGAGATCATGACCTGAGCCGAAGGCAGACATTTAACCATCTGAGCCACCCCTTGAGCAAACATTTAAAGAATATTAGTTTGATCTGTGTCCATGATTAGCCTACCCGTGGAGCCTAGGGGTCTCGATCTAGTTGTAATCAGTGTTCATATTTTCTAAGACATCCTTTCTTTGTTTGTTGGAAACATACATTTAAAAAGAGAAAAACGTGGGGCCCCTGAGTGGCTCAATCAGTTAAATGTCTGCCTTTGGCTCAGGTCATGATCTGGGGGTCCTGGGATCAAGCCCCTCATTGGGTTCCCTGCTCAGTGGAGCCTGCTTCTCCCTCTCCCTCTGCCCCTCCCCCTGCTTGTGCTCTCTTGCGCTCTCTTTCTCTTTCTGTCAAATAAATAAATACAATCTTAAAAAAAAAAAAGAAAAAAAGTTTTCTAATAATCACTCAAGTCCCCGAAGCCATAAAGGAAAAGATTGATACATTTGACTCCACAACCAAAAACTTGGTGACCAAAACCACCACGGCCACAGTCAACAAATATCAAAGTGGGGAAACACTGTGATTCATTTTACAGCAAGAGATTAATTACCTTAATATATAGGAAACTCATAAAAAATCAATAAGGATCCATAATCCCAATTGGAAAAGCAAGCAAATGACACGATGAATGGTCCACAGAGAAAGAATTGCATGACTCCTGGTACTCAGAGATGGTCATCTGCCCTCAAAAGAAATGCAAGCGAACAGTGAGAGGCTCTGTAGATTCTTATTGGGAAAATGAGATCATCTTATGTGGTCAACATTCTCCCTACCCATTCTGAGTTAACTGTACTGAGAGACACCTCCTGTGCACAAAGAGGTAAACTGAGGTAAGCTTAAAAATATGAGTTTATTTGAGGATAGCCGAGGAACTGCAATTTGGAACAAGCGAACTGTAGCAAGCTGCAGGTGAGTCCGTTGAGGGTTTGGGGTAGCTGTGTGTGTGGGCAGGGAATGGAAAGAAGGGAGACATCAGTTAAAGTCCGTTAAAATTAAAAAAAAAAAATGGAGACCAGCTTTGAAAGCTTCCTGAGCAGACAAAACTAGTCCAGTGGCACAAACAAAGCTCAAGTCAGCCCCCTTTGTGGGACGAACCCAACCTAGTCATCTCCTGCTCATGCCTCTGGTAAAGCTTCCCAGGGTTGATATGAGACAATCTCTGATCAACTTCTCATCCAAGAAAATTCCAACATTATCACTTTTCTGTAAATCAGGCCCTTCTGGGAAATCTGTCTCTTAGTCCTTAAGTTTGGTCTTCCTGAGGGCACATGTGTGAGATTTTCCATTTTGTTTCTTCCCGTTCTGTTTTAGATTGAAATTGTTTCACACCCACAACAAGTGCCGGCTTCGGTCTCAGCTTCTCGTGGGTGTGGAAGGAATAAGACTGGAAGACGGAGGACAAGGAGGCTTCGGGAGGCAGCATACAGATGGACCTCTGGGAGCGGGTCTTTGCTTCCCATGTCCTTGTATCCAACAGCAGGGTAGAGAGGATGATGCATGGGGTTGCTGTCCGACAGCTTCTGTCTTCTGTTGCCTCAGTGTTTTAAAGAACAAAACAGCACAGGGGGGCAAGGAGACTGCATTGATGATGTCAAAGAGAGGCCCAGATGATAAACACAGTGAATCTGGAGGGTGGAAAGATGACGGTGGGTGGGGGTGAAGGAGCACACTCAGTGCGCTTGAGGGCCCTATACATAGAGGCAGGTCGGCCTCCGTTGGAGAATCCAAGCTGTATTTGCTGAGGATCCAGCTTTGTCTCAGGATCTTCACAGGAAAGAACTCACTGAGAGCAGTCAAAGCATAAAGATATGTCCCAGGGACAGTGGACTAGAGATGGATGAGTACAGCCTGGGGTACAGCCTGGGGTCTGGACCTTGGTCTGTCCCTGTGTGCCAGCTTCCTGCGAGAGTCTGAGGGGCAGCTATAAATCTGGAGGTGCTGCTTCATGAATGTCTCTCTTCAGGGCAGAGCACATGGTGACGTTTCTTTGGAACCAATGAATGGAATGGGGCTGAGAGACACATTCTCCATGGGGAGTAACTCTGTGCACTTTGGGGCAGGGGCCCACACCATACACAAGAAATATCACCCACCGAAGAAGACAGGAGACATTACTGGAGTTAGCAGGAGATTCCAAGACCATGTCTGAGTCTGCTTGGAGACTCTTAATAACTAAGTGGAAGGAATTTGAGATGGGTCCAGGGTTCTCACAGAGGGTGAGCTGGAGCCAAAGAAATAGTGTCAATGTGATAATGTTTTTACTTCTGGGGTGACAGTATCTGTAAACATACAGGATTGGTTAGATAGGAGATCGGTAGAGTAAGAAGGGCCAGGTTGTTGGGATTCTGGCAGCAAGCTTGGGGAGCACTTTAACCTGTAATGGTGAGCTATGGAGGGTTCTTGAGCAGAGGAAATGCATGTCTCTTGTAAATTGTTTGAGGAAGATTAGTCTGGTATACGGGGAGATCGAAGGGGAGGGGAGCAGAGATGACATGGAGATGCTAAATGGTAGGACTGGAAGATCTTAGCCAACATGGTAATAGTAGGAGTGAGAGGGTAGAGGGTGTGGGTCAGAGCACAGAGGAAGCGTCTGTTTTCAGATGGGGGTGTCTCTTCCGCCTCCAGCCCCTGCTTCCCCTTTTCTTGGCTGACTCCAACTTGTCCTCTACACTCCAGCCCTTCTTTCAGGAAGTCCTCCCAGCTACCACCTCCCTCCACCACCCAGGAGGGGCAGGGTCAACATCCATCACCACCCACTCAGCCAGGAGGGGCGGGGCCACACGTCCATCACCACCCACGCAGCCAGGAGGGGCGGGGCCACACCTCCATCACCACCCACTCAGCCAGGAGGAGTGGGGCCACACGTCCCCCTCCCCCAGCCAGGAGGGGCGGGGCCACACCTCCATCACCACCCACTCAGCCAGGAGGGGCGGGGCCACACCTCCATCACCACCCACTCAGCCAGGAGGGGCGGGGCCACACCTCCATCATCCCCCCTCCCCCAGGCAGGAGGGGCGGGGCCACACGCCCCCCTCCCCCAGGCAGGAGGGGCGGGGCCACATCTCCGTCACCCCCTCACCCACTGGCTTGAAAGTGTGGCCTGGTCTGTCCCCTCTCTGGACTGTGTGTCTCTCTTAAGGCAGTGAGCTTGATTTTTCAGTGTTACATAGTGTGCCCAACATGCATGTTATGTGTGCTTATGGGGCTAGAAAAGAGGGAAGAGTCTAAAATGCCTCATCGGTTCTAGTTTTTTTACTTTCCTTTTGTTTTTGTTATATCTTAATTTTTTCAGACATTATCTTAACAAGTAAAAGTAGTACTGATGTATGGGCAGCATAGGGGTAGGGCAGTGATTCTCAACTTTTCAAAAACTACCATTCCCCAATGGAGCTTTTTTAAGAGTATTTTTCTCCTAATCGTCTTCTTCCCAGCTCCCCGTGAATAAAATCTTAATGCCACATATCCACCGTGTATCTGTGGAGGGTGACAACCCATCGTAATATCTCAGACTTGTTCACATACTCCCTCCCCCAACAACAAAAATTTTCCCCCTTTGGGGACCCTATTGAGAATACATGGTGTGGGGCGACTGCCTTTGTTCCTTTGGGCTGTTGGAACAAGTCACCACAAACATGGTGGCTTAAAACAGCAGAAATTTACTGTCTGACCCTTCTGGAGCCGGGAGGTAGGAAACCAAGGTGTCAGCAGGGCTAGGCTCCCCCAAGACTCGGGGGGGGTATTGTTCCTTGGCCTCTTCTAGCTTCCGGTGACTGCGGGCACTTGCTGGCTCACGTCTGCGTCATTCCAGTCTCTGTCTCCTCCTCACAGGGACGCTCTCCCCTGTCTTCCCTGTTTTTCTGTCAATGCCAAGTCTCCTTCTGTCTTCCTCTCAGAAGGATTTAGGGCCTGCTCTGAAAATCCAGAATATCTCATCTGGGGACCCGTAACTTTTCCCAGAAAAAGGCCACATACACGGGTACCGGGGTTACGACATGAAAATGTCTTTCTGGAGCCGCCATTGAACCTGCCACAGTGACTAAAATATATATATATTTTTTATTGTTATGTTAATCCCCATACATTCCATCATTAGTTTTAGATGAAGTGTTCCATGATTCATTGTTTGTGCACAACACCCAGTGCTCCATGCAGAACGTGCCCTCCTCAATACCCACCACCAGGCCAACCCATCCTCCCACCCCCCGTGACTAAAATATTTTTAGGGGACGCATGCCTTGTGTCAGTGACACAAGCGAAAAAGCTCTGTGAACATTTCACACCGCACAGTGCTGGTCCGGTGTGGTTATTACGGTTCTGCGGTGCTTCTAGCAGGTACAAGGATTTTGGTGGGGGAAGCAGGGGAGCATAGGCCCCTCACATTTCCCGCATCCCCAGAAAAGACCTGTTTTTCCTCCGCCCCCTTTGCTCAGGGGTAGCCCTTTGGTGCCCTCTCGTGGATCTTGTGGTAACTACAGAGTCTTCATTCTCCGAGGAAAAGATGCCGATTTTAAAAGATTAGCTACGAGAGCCATAGAACAGCAATTAAACAACAGCAGAAGGGACTTGGGGCATGTACATTATAACCCAACACAACTTACGTCCACCCTCGGAGAAGCGGTGCGGGGCAGAGGACGCCGGCCGCGCTGTGGCTTCCGTACTCGTGTTTCCCGCTTTTCCATTTGCAAAGGGCTCTGTCCCTTCAGGGGGCTGCCTTCCGCGTAGCGTCCTCCTGCCCTATGTCTGGAGCACAGCCACCCCTCTGGGGGGCCTCCACGGCCCGTGAGAGCACCCACTTGCTCTCCCTCCCCTGAGAGCCGTTTTCTAGCAGGGATTTCTCCTCCCTGTGTGGCAATGGGGAAGAACAGAGAGGGGGTGGGGGTGGGGAGCAGGGGACTCTGACTCCAAGTGGGTAAATCACACAGTAATAAACCCTTCACATACATCTGCATTTAAGCAGGTTTTCTCAAGAGCTGACTGGATCTTAACTGTTTTTTAATAATGTTATTTTTAAGTCCATCCACAAATTCAAACATTAACCGAATTGATTTGTGTGTCAGGCATCATGCCAAGCTCGGGGCACACACTGGTGAGTCCGACGGAAATGGTGTCTGGCTACCTCGGATTTACCCACAGGGAGACCAAGATTGAACACCTGCTGTGGATAATCAATGATAAGTGCTGTAAAGGGAAAATACAGAGGGAGACACAGCAGGTGAGGCAGACTTGATGTGGGGCTAGGCAAGGAATTGAACAAAGCCGGGATGAACACTGCGCATGCCCAAAGCCAGGGACGAATGCGCATGCCCAAAGCCAGGGACGAATGCGCATGCGCACGCTAACCTGCTGGCGCTCTTAATCCTTTTCACCAGTTCAGCTATTTCAGGAAAGGGGATGTGGGAGGTCTGGTGCTAAATTTGGTTGTGAGCTCCTGGGGGCCATTTTTAAATGAAGTCCCCGAGGATGAGCCCGGTGTCTGATTCACCGTGTCACCCTGTCTCCCCACAATTAATAGCTGGAGTTGTATACAGAGAAGTTATCAAAAGCAAGTCAAACACCGACCTTTCCATAACCAACAGACTATTTGTTAAATTCAAAGGCTGCTGATGCCAGGAAGGAGAACAAATGTGTGATGATGGCGGCCCGTCTCCAAGATGGTTGTCATCAATTCCTTCTCACTCTGTCCGCCCATCTGATTCTCCACTGGGGGTGGGGTGGGGGGGGGAGGGGTGGCATCTATTCCTCTGCACCACACCCCGTGGATCTGGGCTGGCCGAGGTGGCTCATTGACCCGTAGGATGCAGTGCAAATGATGTTGGGGACTTCCAAGGCCAGGTCCTAAGAAGTCTTGCAGCTCCACCCCAGCTCTTGAGGTACCCTGGGCCCCGAGACCCCCCACACGTGATGAGGGTGACACATGATGAGGCCGTCCCAGCCCAGGCACCACGTGTGAGTGGAGGAGCTGTCTTGGCTATTCTGGCCCTGGAAGATAACAAACAGAAGCTATTCAAGCCGCCCCAGCAGAGGCCCCAGACAGCGTGGAACAGAGATGAGCCAAGCTCCCTCCATGCGCTCTAGATGTTTTTTCATGCCTTTAAATTGTAAAGCAGCAGTAGATGCCTGCGAACACGGCTTTAGCAACACATGCTGAAAATAGAACAGCATGTTAGCAGGGCCCAGAGTAAGGCTGACATGTGAACTGAAGAACGCTTCAAGATTTGGTTGTTACATTTTCCTGTTCCCCACAGCACTGTGTTCACACCTCCACTCTAAACCTGCCCATGCTGCATTGAGGAGATAGCATAGCACACTCCTTAAGAACTTGGGTTTTCTAGTGAAGACAGTCTCTTACGTGAATTCCAGTTTTATAACTTAAACTGAGTGGTCTCAAGCAAATGGCTTAGCCTAGACCTGTTTCCTCATCTGTTAAATGGGAATGACACACATAGAATCAACATCATGCAGTACTTCAGATTAAGTTCAATAATGCATGCAAAGCACTCGGTGCCTGTCATCTATTCACATTTGGTGGTCAATCAATCAAATGGTGGTTGGTGGTGATCCCCAGAGCACAAGAGTCTGATCTTAACTCATCTTTAAATTCAATGTACATTTCAGTACCCGGGACATAGTGATTAATAAAGGCTGTTGCATGCATGACGAAGTGAAACCCTATGTTATAAGCTTTAAGACTGACCTTTTTAACATATAGGATAACTTTGCCTGTAAATTATTTGGAGCCAAGCACTTTAGGGCATTTCTCTACCACAGAGTCCTGTAAGAATCAGGTGTCAGTGGAAAAATAACTCAATTCCATTGCTTTTGGCATTTGAGACCATCAAAGGCTGGCCAGGACCTTAATGACCATCCCTTGCAACCTGTCTCATGGTGCGTATGTAAAGTGAGTGGTTTGCCCTCGGCCACCCACCTGCTGTGGGGACAAGAGCCCAGTGCAGAACTCCTTCCCTGTTATGATGGAGTCCTTACCCTCTTGCTTTGCATTGCAGGGCCATTCGGTGTGGTCAGGACTGATCACTAATCTTTTCTACGAAGGGATGGTGCACCTCTGGAGAGGCAGTGGGAGAATCTGTCGGGAAGGCAAGAACCACCTTGTGGTGCGGGGGCCCTTTATGCATCTGTCCCACTTGTCAACATGACTCTTACACCAGAACAACGACTCATCAGTAAAAAGCCCCTTTTATTAGTAGTAAGTCGGCTGGGATGCAATTTAATTCTTGTGTAATTAAGTTTGGGGTTTCATCCTAGTTCTTGGGGCTTTCTTCTATTTCACTGCTTTCAGGCATAAATGTCCTGTTCCTAACTTATTTTACAGTGTCTGGTGAGACCTAATGATTCTTCTTTGGTTTAGCAAACCCGAAGACACAAAGTATCAGTTAAGTTATATAGTTTTAATTGCTTTTAAGTTTCAAATGAGTGAGACAACACAGATACCAAGTAAACAAACTTAAGGCTTCTTCAATTGCTTTTTTTTCTTGCCTTTGAACTCATAGAGGCTGCTGTTTGCAGCTCCAGTGTGGACAGTCCACTTAGAGCACCTTTTAAATTTAGTGTCAAAACAGGGACTATAGGAAAATCCTGCACTGTTTTCACCTCTGTGTTCTGGCAGCCAATTTCTGTGCATTGCTTAAGATGTTGCTAGCCAAAGAGCATTGTCCAAAGAGTATGGAAAAAGAAAATAACATATTTGTGCAGGTTGGAAAAATTCAAGTAAATTCTTTACTATAAGACCAGCTGGATGATTCCTCTACATTCACCACCACCCCCACCCCCCCCGCCCCTTGCACAATCAGGATTAGTTTCTATTTGTTTTAAAAGATTTCATTTAGAACAAAAAATTCAATTAATGAAATTTTTCTAAGAAAAACAACTACAGACAAGGGCCTGGGGTGGGTGGGTGAGTGGGGAAACCCAGATGTGCCAACTCTGAAACCCACGGCTGTGCTTTCAGATCTTGAAATAAATCTGTTTCCAAGAATGGAGGTTTCTGTTGTTCACATTTATATCTTGAATCATGCAAAAACATCAATGACGTCTTTAGGTTCCAAGTTCAAATCCTTATTTAGGATACTTGAACCTCATATCTAGCACTTACAAGACTTCTGAGATGTTCTTTTCAATCCTGACAGGCTAGTTCCATTGAGAGGTAGGGAGAAGGCAAAGGGAAACTGCGCTGAGCAACAATAGAAGATAATTATATGAATGTTCTGAAGTCAACTAGCTGACCACATTCTACGAGAAAAAATCATGTGGGGTTTTAAGAGTTTAATACACAATTCAGCATTAACACTAGGTCATGTTTAAAAGAAATTAATCCAGACCAAAAATATTTGGCCACTAGGAAAATCAACAGTTTGGCTCAAAATGTAATACTAACAATAAATTACGAGGTTGGTAGAAGTTTCAGGATCCAATCATAAGATTAACCTGATGACTTTCTAAGTGGTGGCAGAAATGACATGGGAAGAATGTAAGACCCATAATAGAACAGCACCTTCTTTTGAGCTGGTAGATTCTAAAGCTCATTTTTCCTTGCCTAAAGTTTTTTTTAATGGTTTCTACTACAGAAATTACTTCTAATTATTTACTTGCATGTATTCACGTATATGCTGTTACATAGTATTAGCAAATGTCAAGGCTAGTATAAGCAATCAAAATTACTATCTTAAAGGAAGTTAAAGGAGAGAGGCTGTTTCTCACCCAGTTGCAGACCGAGAACTTATTTTGGTGACTTCTCAGAAAGAGGCTAAGTGATAAATAGGCATCACACCAACCCCAAGTTGAATGGCCAAACTGCTGATGTTACAGCTCTGATGTCCAATTTCCCCACATTAACTATAGCCAGGGTCAGTCAAGGTCATGTGGGGTGGCTGATTGCACTCCCAGAAGCAAAATTTGAGATCCGATTTCTCACTTGCCACAATTTGCATCATCCAGACATTTTATCCAAGGATCTGATGCTTCAAAGCTGGAACATTTTAGCTCAATTTACCTTTTGAGTTGGCTGCTAGGAAGTTAGGGCCAGATTTGTAGCCTAACATGCATTTTATGTGCCAAGTTCACTCCTGGTTTAATGTTGTTTTTCACTTCTTTACCTAGAATCGTCTTAATCCATGTAAATTTTATCATTGTGGGTGGTTCTGTAAGCCCTCTCTTAAGAATTTTTTGGGACAAGGCAATGAATAAAACACACTTGAGATTACATTTCACTATATATCACAGGCTAATTCAAGTCAAAGACCTCAGAGACTTAAAAAAGTAGTAATAGAGGGACACCTGGTTGGTTGGCTTTGCCGGTGAGCATGACTTTTGATCTCAGGGTCATGAGTTTGAGCCCCACAATGGGTGTAGAGATTACTCAAAAAGTGGTAATAGGGTGAAATATGTTAAGGGGATTAAGAGGTACAAACTTCTAGTTTTAAGTCATGAGGATATAACGTACAACTACGGAATATAGCCAATAATATTGTAATAACTTATGACAGATGGTAACTAGACTTATTGTGGGGATTTTTAATGTTAAAAAAAAGGTAACATTTCTTAGCAAATTCATATTGTCCCTAGGGCAAAATTCAACTTATAAAAATCTGAATTTGGAGAGTTAAAAGTAAATGAAAGATGGATTCAAACTGCCCCAAATGAATGCTCCCAGAAGCTTCTAAAATTCCAGAAAGGTCCATCAAAAATGGAATCATTCAGATTAAAAAAAAAAAAGTCTGACTGGAAAGTTGCTTGGTCATGGCACATTACGGCATACAGGATAACCAGAGGTGGATTCTTTATTTCACAAGTTTCAAGATACAGTACAAAACGAATCTGTACATCTCTCTATTAACAGGATTTGTTTACACAATTATATTACACTTCACCAGCCTTTATACTGTATTTAATTAAATACAAAATAAATTTACAAAAAAGTCTACCATGGTGTTCCTTCCAATGCCAGCTTATGGTCTTTTTAAACTTCTCCTAAATATTGATAGTGGTTATACCTTGATCGTATTGACATTATGATTTCTTTTTTTTAAATCAAAGAGACTAGTGTCAGCTTATGTCATTCCAGATAGGAAAAACAGTGCATGTGAGAGGCTTTCCTGCACGTGACCAGGACATCCTTCTCATACACACAGAATTGGGAGTTTTGCTTCTGTAAATAGTCACTTTAAAATACAAATCATTTTTACTTGGGATATTTTAGGTTTTCTAGAAATACAAAGTGAAAGGAGAAATTTAGCTTCAAGGACTACACACATTTAAAAAATCAGGTAGTGGCTCAGACAATATGGTGTTCAGAAACTATATTTTTCATTTATATGGGAGAGCAATGAGTGAGGAAAAAGATTTTCATGAAAACAGAAGTTTTTTAATTTCTTGCATTCTTCTAGTCATAATATTGTGCAACACATATTAAATTCACTTCCAGAACAAATACTAGCTGTCCTCGGGGCAAAGTAGCCCACATTGCTCTTCTTGGCAGGTAAAGGGGCTGTTTATCTGACACTGTTTGTTTTGAAATGTGCATGTGAAACATTAGTCCAAACCTCTGTAAAGGAAGTTTTTTGCAGATGGAGCTAGACAGTAATACACATGCTACACACATGAAGAGTTGTGGTCTCCATTTACAGGCTTGCATGCATACTTCCAAAATGCTGGCTTGAAGAACAAATGTAAGGAGCAAAGAAGGAGGGAAAAATGAAGCCAAAAAAAAAAAAAAAAAAAAAAAAAAATCCTATACAAAATACTTAAGTTTCCTGGAGGCAACAGCAGCTCCTTAATTAAATAAAAGCATCCGATCATGGTCAGATCACAGTAGAAGTTTCTACAACTTCCCAATGGTACAGAGCTAGAAAAGCTTAGCAGTAAAACTTTCACAAATTAACCTTATATGCACAAGGGTAACAAATCCTCAAGCGTATTAAGGTAAATGATTCCAAAGTTAATCTCATTCAAGTGCTAAAATAATGAATTTTGGGAAAAAAAAAAGGCTTTTACTTTTTCTGTGCCACTGAATATTAACCAAAAATAAGATAAGCCTTACTCAGAAAACAGAAACAAAAATTTCAAATAAAGAAAACAAAAAACCCAAACACCAATGCTACCTTTGTAACATAAAATAGAAGCAAACAGATGGTCTCAAAACTCTGAGAACAGTTGACTAACCACAAACCAAACGCAGAGGAGAATATAAGCCAAGTATTACTGTCGTCACCTTCAAAGGCAGGAAGACAGGCTAAAGGGGTCAGGAGACAGGCTACCACAGAGAAATGAAGCTGCACTCAATCTGCTAACTCTAAATTCTAACATTAAAACTCCTGAATCCCGGAGTTAGTTTAATGTCACTGACATTAACTAGCTTTAGTTACTGTCATTTTATTCAAATGGATGCCATTTGATTATGTAAGTATTGAGCATTATTTTAGGAGAAACACCAAACCCAGTTCCTACTTGCCTAGGTATTATGTCCCATGAACAGAGAAGAAAAAGGGAGCAAAGTATTTTGAGATAGTCGTAAGGACTGAAGTCACAAAGCCATAGAACAAAATTGTTTTAAATACACTGTTCAAATTTCCTGGAGCAAATGACCCAGGGGACAAGCAGGTGGTGGAAACAAGCCAGGAAGAGGCTATGTGGAATATCAGTAATAAAAAGGACAGGGCAGGTAGTGGTAACCTAGCAGGAAGTTTGTTATTGCATGAAGAACACGACTGCGCCTTCCCATCTGGCTTTAGGTAGTGCACGCTGCTTTACGAAATGTCTCTTCAAAGCACAAATGGAGGGAGGTAAAGCTAGAGATAAAAAATGTGGCTAAAGCAGAAATCAAGTGGATGGATGGCAGAGGGAGAGAAAGGGAAGTTCAGTCATCTTGGAGGGTTTTAAAACATTTAAATACATTAAGACAGTTCCTTCGAAATGAAACGTGGCCGCTCCCGTGAACTCTACTCATCTTCGAAGGGTGGGGAGAAGTGGCAGTGGTGAAGACCAATATATTGTACCAACTGCACTCAAGTCTCTCTCTGCGTAAGAGGTCAAACTCATCTTTCTATTTAAGAGCTGCCCAAAGCAACAGGACGCTCTGGAGGGTCAAACTTCCTACCTTTCGGATACTCTCTTATACATATGGTTCTGTGGCCACCTCTTCAAATTTGGAAGCAATTATGTGGGAGTAAAGTTTGCTTACCAGGTTTCTCATAATACTCTAAAACACACACAAAGAGTGTACGACTTCACACTGAAAGCCTTCACATTCATTACAGACTCATTAAATCTAGTTCTAAATATAATCCCAACTTCAAAAACCAAAGTCTTACAACTCTACAGGTAATAAGCTCTTCAAGTTTTCTGGCAGATGAGGGATTATGGAAAAAATAGTAGAAAGGTTACTATAAACAGACTGAGGTCAGGAGGCATAGAAAGCCTGCTCAGATACCAACGTAGTCTCAGACTAGACATAGGCTGGTGAATACCACCATCTGACAATAAAAATACAAATTAGGTTTAAGTTTAAAGTTCTTCATTTGCAGGATATGTGAAGTCCTCGATTTTCTTTGTATTGTTGCTGTGCTCCACACTATTTGACCAGGCAATTCTCAAGTGTCATAGCCTTGATTTTCCTACATTTACCAGTGGGGGAGGGTGGTGCATAGGACAGCTAAGAAAGTGGCTGACTTTCTACTGTAATAGAAAACTGCAGAAGTAAAAATCGACCTGAACAGTATAAACAGGCTTTGGCTTTCCTCAACCACTGAGTTTAATGCATCTTAAATTCTCTGAGTTTTAGTTTTATAAGGGTAGTCACTGTATGCCACATCCTGGCAATAATATTTCAAATCTAAAGAATTCAGGAGGGTGAGATCTGTTCTTTTGCAGTAAGAAATGCAAAGTAAAATCCTGGGAACAAATGCTTCATCTTTCGGGGAAGTGTGTCTATCATCTCTGTAACCCACCCAGAGTTCTTTAATATGGTTTTCTAATTTCTCCCACTTAGTCCATCCTCTGGCTTCTGGATCAAGGCTCTGTATATTCAAAACAAACAAGCAAATTACACTGAGTAAGTGGGGGCAAATTCACATGTTAGCTCAAGAAGTCAGTTCACAATGTTTTATATATTCCATTCCAGAGAAGTGAAGTTCACATCAAACTCTTTAACACGCCTTTCAGTCTTTGAAGGAGAGACGTATGGTAGAAAGTATGACAATCACCAATAATAAGAAACCTCCCAGCCTTCCCTTTTAAAATAACCAATATGTTGAATATGTATACTTGCATGTGGATTGGTAAGTTTCTCAGTTATTGCAGTTCTGAAACGATCTGAAGACTTTTTTTGTTTTTTTGTTTTTTTTTTTACTTAAAAGGCAAGTTCTATTTTCAGACTTCCAAACATGTTAAGGTTAAACTTGCAACTAACTGTTTTTTCCTTTTTACAATGATCAGTTTTTAGTGTTGATGCACAAGACCTTAAAGGTGGTTGATAGAAGAACTTATGCACATTGAGAGAGTGACCGAAAGGACCCAAGAAAGACAGCTGGGTACGGCAGACATTGAGTGTCTCATATGTTTCCAGAAAAAAAAGGGGGGGGGGGCACTGAGAGTTGTTATTCCATACGGTACTGAAACAAACATTCAACTCAGTTTAGGTGAGAGTTACTTATCCCTGAAAATAAAGGCATCAGATTCTAAGCAGCTTTAGGAATTCAATGCTTCCTTGTGCCTCTTCCAGGAGGTGACCACTGATCCGAAGTCCTAAATCCAATGCAAGTGTTCTCCACAGACAATTTCCTTGGTTGTCACTGACCAAGGCTGGACACGGTGGCTGTTACTGTGGTGGCTGCTGCTCTGGTGGCCCCTCCTGCTGTGGTGGCACCGGCCGGGGCCCAGGAGGCCTGGGGACAGGCATGTCTTGGTGCTGCCTCTGCCTGTAAGCTATAACTGTTCCCAAGAGCAGTGCGATGATGGTCATGAGGTAAAGGTCCCACTCAGGTCCCAAAAGCTGGTCCATGTCAAGTTGGGTGAACATATCTCGAATCTTAATGAGAATAATACAAAAATCATTATGATCACCAGAATGTCAGAGAAGGAACTAGGAAAAAAGTTACATTGCAAATTAGAGATGAATACAGAACTTATTAAAGTCACTGGTTTTAGGAACATTTTGCAATGCAATTAAAAAAAAAAGTGGCTTTAAAAGCCTTCAACTGAAACTCAAAAAATAACATGTCTCAGGAACCGAATTTTGTAACAGTAGGTGATACAAAGTGTCTAACAGGGTTCCTTTCCATCAGTAATCCAACCCACTCATTTCCTACCATTTTTCACAGAAAATACTTGCAAGGAATACTGGGGACAGTGGAGAGCCAAGGTGGGGAATGATCGTATCTCAGCACGCCTGTCACCTAGTTGTGACGGCACCCCGCTGAGAAGCCCCGTTCTAACGACAGCAGGGGATTTCACGTCTTCTCTCGTGTAACTGATGATGGAAGGAATTCCAACGTTTAATAGCCGAATGACTAATGCTTTTTAATAGGATTTCACTAAATCTTTAACACCTGAATTTGAACTTAAAAGTTATGTTCTTCATCTATGATACTTTGTTTTAGTGTCACTTAAGAGAAGTCATTCCTGATATTTTCGGACTGCTACCTACCTACGAAGGAAATAAACATGGGGTATAACCCTTTATACTGAAATAAAGTTATATTTAAAATGTCCCCGTAATATATATTTGTAGGTACAGGTGCTAAATTTTTCTGGAAAAAGATTATAAGAAACTATTAACTGTGTTTCCTGGGGTGGGACCTGTGATAGGAGATTTTGTGTTTTCTGTACCGTCTGACTTTCTCACTCTTATCATTCTCTTTTTTAGTTGGAATATCTATGTGGTAGGATTATGGAGCATTTTATTGTCTTCTTTATACTTCTGTATTAAAAAAACAACAAAGATCGAATAATGCATGACCAAATCCTGGACTATAATCAGCAGTTTCTTAGTCCTACAAACTGTGAGAGACAAGGGTCTGCAATAGCCCTGACAGAAACAGCAGGCTGCCATGCTGTTAGCTTTTCAATTAAAGGAACAAGGATTGTTTCCATTACTGGAGGGTACAGCATGCCTGGTTCATGCTATCAAGCAACTATAAATTTGCCATTACAAATGTATAAGCAATCAGGGGGACGGAGTCCGACACCTCCGGTCCTCCAGAGCACCATGCATGGAGGCCCTCGGCAGCACAGGACAGGGTTGCAAAAGGAGCAGCATGGACTCCAGTTACATCTGTGTCACACAGGAGGAAAAGCCCGTTCTGGAATCGAATGCTGAAATGGCGTATCAACCTGTCCTAAAAGATCTTAACAAAAGGTTGAAGTATCCTATCCTGGTCTGGAGTGAATTCAAGTTAAATAGCCTTTGTTTCTGCCTATGTTTTAGGACTTTTGGGGTTAAATACTTCATCAGGTATTATGAGGAAGTGGAGGTAAAGCAAATGTGAAACAGGAGAACCCAAGAGCACCTACCCAGAAATACAGGTAACTTAGGTCAGTAGTTTTGAAAGGAATAGGGAACCCACCTCTTATCTGGGTGGGTTAGCTTAATTAAGTAGTTCAAGGTATTTTTACAGAACGAAGTTCTAGCGGTGTTTTAAACATGTTTTACACCAGCAGAAGAACCTGAAGTACAACAGCCTGGGCAGGTTCTCAGGTTCTACTTCTCCCTTTTTTTAAAAATTCTCTTTTTAAGGGACTGGGCTGAGTCATTGCTGGGCAGTCATCGGATTTACTGTTTACTGAGTTTAGTTAACTACTGTTCCAAATTGCCAAGTGTTGGTCTCAGTTTTCTCTAAACCAGAAGACACTTGCATCAATGAAAACTGCTTTAGCACCTGGAGCCACCATCCAATGCTACTTGGAAACGTACTGCTCTGTGGCTACCTTCACCCCACACCCGATGCAATCTCCTGGTACTTCACCTGGGGGAAAAAGGGATAGGACCAGACACTGGCAGGACACTCCTCCCCTCTCCCCAAACTTTTTAGATACAAACCTCTGGACTGAGCAGCTTACATCATTTGTATTTTAATTACAAGAGGCATGGAGGGTCGCCTGGGTGGCTCAGTCAGTTAAGTGGCTAACTCTTGATTTCGGCTCAGGTCACAATCTCAGGGTCCTGGGCCTGAGCCCCACATCAGGCTCCACACTCAACGGGGAGTCTGCTTGAGGATTCTCTCCTTCTTCCCCTCTCCCAATTCATGCATGCTATGCTAAAATAAATAAATCTTAAAAAAAAAAAAAAAGAGGCAGGGAACACTTACATTTGTTTCCCGTATGTATTGCAAGAAATACACCACACCTAATTTGCATAGTGCTAGGAAGACTGGTACTTGTGCGTCTGGGCTGGCTTCAGCTGCCATGTCATAGAAACGTTTCGCAAGGTGAATATCCTAGAATATAGGCAATAAACCAAAATTCATCTCTTGTTAAAATAAGTAAAATAGTATTATTTAGCTTATACATTCGGGTATCAGTTTATATATTTAGAAGATTTATTTTACTTTTCAAGTTTTCATTTCAAAATTTCCCATACCTAAAGGAAAAACCCAACCTGTAATTGGGTAATATTTCTTTAATTATCTAACTGCTTAATTTTGAAAAATTTAACTGAAAAATTTTAAGATTTAGCTCATGTTCCTCCTGCCTGACATCCCATTTGCTGTGCAGATGCGTTGCATACAGCTGCATCCCTATGCATAACACAGGTCAATCTTAAGATTTCCGGGGGCCACCTCTAAGTCTCATTTAATTTTTCTTAAAACTTCAGTCAGTATAAGCAATTTCTGGTTTCAGTTTGGAACAGTAATCTTCAAACCTAGTAACATGCTCATGATTTCTCAGAGGGTACTTGCATGGATAGTAAACCCATTCTGCGTTTCCCTGCCTTAGACATATTTCTGTAAAAGGTGAAAGAAGTCATTATGAATTCTGGCCCAGACTGGAGTGTTCTGCATGCAGATAAAAGCAGAACGGCACAGTGGGACGTTGTGAAATTTTCATTTTACAACCTCACTTTTTCTATGCCCTGACTATTGTCAAAGAACAACCAAGCTCCAAGGAAAGAATTCCATAAGACACGGGAAAGAAAGGTTAACATTAAAAAGGACTTTTTCCACATAGTTCAATATAAGCAGTTACTTTCAGCTGTTCCCTAAACTATCCCTAGGGTGTGTCATTAGTTAAAAAGAAGGTTCTCTTCTGTTACTAACACTAAAAATATAGTTAGTCTGGTTTTTAAAAAAGTGTAACAAGTTTTTTTTTGGACTGCCAAATTTTTCAAGATCATGGATCAAACTTTATGTGATAACATTGACTTCTGTGCGGATGATTTAATAGGGTGATTAAATCTTATCAATTACATCCTGAATTATTTATTCCATATAATCAATCCTCATTTAGTCCTTAATATTTTTCTAACTGTACTAGATGCTGAATTGAATAGTTTTTAGTAGTATGAATGCTTCTTTCTTTAAAAAATGGGAAGAAATAGGAAAAGGTGATCATAATGTCTTACAAAAACTAATGGAATCATTCTGATTTTTATACATGATTATTCTTAAAAGTTGCATCCCATAGTTCCCTACCCCCATTCTTATCAAAGAAATACTATGCTTTTTATCATAGTCTTTATTCACAAGAATTTATATAAGATATTACAAATTAAATTATGAGAAGGCACACTGATTTTCTCAGCTTCTAATCTATTACAAAAACAGAGTTGTTACTTTAATTTTGATTGCTTTTAGTAAATTATAATGAAGTGTATCCCATAAAAACCATAACTTATGTGCAATCTTTGTGTTAGTCATCAAACACATATTAATTTCATTTGAATTAAAAAAGTGAAGTCAGACTTGTTGACAGAAGCCAAGTCTGATCTGGCTGACTGGCCTGACAACCAAGAGAGGCTTCAGTAACTTGATAACATGGCAGAATCTTCCCCAAGCTGAATGCACTCTGCCTGCAGTTCTAGAGTCTTGATAAAACTATATTCAAGTACCTAATATTAATATAAATGTGAAATATAAAAATTTACATATGGGAATTAAAAAAATTAATATTCAAATGTGGTAAAATAAAAGGCACTTGGACAAAAAATAGTGCATTAGCAAAATGAAAATGAACAACTTGATCTTAAGCACATTAGGTCAATAAAGTGTCTCTAAGTGACAGAGTAAGGAATATAATTAGTTATTTGATAAATCTTGTGCCTTAGAAGATTTATTTTACCTTTCAAGTGCCTTTCGGCACTTCACCCAGGAACTGAGAAAGTGAATGACTCCAGTGACCAGGGAATAAATACATCTTTTGCAAGTCTCTAGTTTCCAACTCCCTGCTTTCAACAAGACTGAAGGGGGACCTAACTAAGTTGTCAGTGACAGATCACTGAAAATAATTTTAATGACAGATCACTCTGACTTTTGGCACATGTTATAGACTAAATGTTTGCATCCCCCCTAAATTTCTTTGTGGAAACTCTACTCCCTCCTGCAATGGTTGGGATTAGGAGGTGAGGTCTCTGAGAGGTTACCAGGATTAGATGAGGTTACAAGGGCAGAGCTCTCATGAATGGGATTAGCATCCTGAAAAGAGTCTCTAAGTGCTTGCTGCTCCTTTCCTGCTCTCTCCTCAGGTTAAGGACAAAAGCCAGAAGACAGCTCTCTCTGGCCCAGGAAGCAGGGCCTCACCAGACACCAAATCCGCTGCCACCGTGTACTGCAACTTCTCGGCCTCTAGAACTGTGAGAAATCCTGTTATTTAAGCCGTCCAATCTATGGCATTCTGTTACAGTAGCCCAAAAGAGACAGCATGTAACTCTAAAGCAGTTTAAAGAATTAAGTGACCTTGCTATAAGATTCCTCCCTTTCGTATATACTTGTTTATATGAACAAGATTCCAGTCATATATTTATAAAAATGAAAAATGAAATTAATGCTAAATCTACTCAATGATGCTTAAACTAATTTTTAAAAGATGCTGCATTCATCTCATTAAATGATGCATTTTCAGTAATCACAAAAGTAAAATTTTTGTGAAATTTGTAGTATTATGTTGATTTATTCATCACTGTATTGATAATTAACCAACTATGACTAATAATATCTCATGAACTTTTCTTAACACTTAGAGCCTATAATCACAGGAAATAAAATTTAAAATTTGAATTTAGTACACTTTGTTTCAGATAAGTATGATCAAATGATCAGTAAAATATCTAAGCACTAAAAACATTACATTAATATGGGATGCTTTGGGAATAATGGACTGAAAATATGAATTCAGGAAGAGGGGTGCCTGGGTGGCTCAGTCGTTAAGCGTCTGCCTTCGGCTCAGGTCATGATCCCAGGGTCCTGGGATGGAGCGCCACGGCGTCGGGCTCCCTGCTCAGTGGGAAGCCTGCTTCTCCCTCTCCCACTCCCCCTGCTTGTGTTCCCTCTCTCGCTGTCTCTCTCTGTCAAATAAATAAATAAAATCTTTAAAAAAAAAAAAATATGAATTCAGGAAGAAAAGGAAAAGATACCATTTTCATTTAATAAATTTGCTGTGTATTTAAAAAATTAATAATGAGGGTATTATATTAAAATTTTGGTATTTAGAGTAATTTAGTCATTTTTTATCAAGTGTTGGTGCTTAAAATAGCTAGAATTTAGACACTTTGGGGCTTATGATGATAATTTTTAATGTCAAATTAAACATGTACGGGAGAACACACAGCTTTTCAAAATCCTCTTCAGGGCACAGAGGCAAACCACAGGTCTGGAGAATGTTAGACTGTATTAGGAAGGCATGAGACTCAGAAATACGTTTATCAGTCGCAAACACCTTAATTTACTTTGGAATAATTTAGAAACAACAGAATCTGGCTGAAGATGGACGGACAGTTTCTCAAGCGAGGAGTTCCCGATCGCGGCAGCCCCGCATTTCCATTTCAACGAATGTTCCTGGCTTGCTATCGTAAGTGTAGCGGAGTGTGTCTGATGGCGAAAGAGATGCGAGGATGGGCTTGTGAAATACTGCAGAACCGTCGCATGACTTAGTACCTGGAGTGGGCGCACGTTCCGAAGAACGCCTGTTTTCTGCAGAACTGCGGGCGGATCCCCCCGCCGGCTGCCGTGCGGACACCGCTCGGGAGCCACACTCACCTGCTTGATGCCCAGCCCCTTCTCGTGCATGTAGCCCAGATTGAACATGGCCTGGGCGCTGTGCTGCTGCTCAGACGCCAGGCGATAGTGAATGAACGCGGTCTCGTAGTCGACGTCGGTGCCAAAGCCATAGAAATGGTAGTCTCCAAGCTTAACTCTGGCCACGGTATAGCCTGAACAAAATGAAATGCAGAACCGCCGGCAGGTCAAGCGTGCTCACAACAGACCAAACCGCTGCTGCTCCTGCTTGCGTGCTTGCAAAACACGGAACTTCGATTTGTAGTGCATGAACTTCACAACGAACCCTCAACCAAGCTATAAATGCAACAAAGACTCAAACTAGAGGTGTTGCTCTTCTGAGGAAGGCTTTGTAACAGTCAGGGGGGTAAAGCAAGGTGGGTGGTAATCCCTACTTCAGGGTAACACTCCTCAAAATGGGCATGTTCTAGTCTACCTGCCATTTACACCGTAAAGCAGGAGTTCAACGGGCCCACACGGTTCAGGTTTGAAGAAGGGACAGCCAGGCAAGGTTGAAAGGAGCGTGTGAGAAAGAAAGACTCAAAAAAAGGGCTTTTAGACTAGTATTCTATTATATATTCTATTCGATTCTCATTTTACACAGAACATGGGCCTCACACTAAAATCAAAGAGTAAACCATAACATGATATAAATGTCCAGTACAAAGACCTCACAATTCAATTTAGAAACCCAGAGACTAGAACTGCCATTTTAAAAATAAATAAATCATGATGCAAACAAGTTAAGCAATATTGTGGGTCTGTCTGCCTAATTTTAAGTTGACGAATGACATTATTTAGTTTTTTGTGGGAGGTAAGAAAACAAAACGGAGACAGTAAAGAAAGGTCCCGGGGTGAAACTCTTCCCCAGAAAGTAGCGGTCACTCACCTTGAGAGGCGGCCCTGTTCCAGTGCAGCAAAGCTCTGGGGTAAGTCTCGTTCTCCCCCACAATGGTTGCTTCCCCTATGGGGACGATGAAGTATATACAAATCAGGCACTTAAGAAAGATAGGCACTAGACTGTTAGGGTTCATTTATAAGCCAGAGTGGCTATGTAGAACATAATTTAAACAAGAATTGGGATATGGCAAATATTAAATGAAAAAAGCACTGTATTGACATTAAACTAGTATTAGAATAAAATACCAAGTTCAAAGGAATCACTGCCTCTATCCAGGACACACTACTTCCCTGCAACATGTTGTATCCACAGAACTAATAAGGAGACTAACTACTGAGCTGCTTCTATGGACCTACGTACTGCTGGAAAAACAATGTTGTTATATCTGCTGTATTTTGGAAGATGGATTTGTGAAACGAATGGCAAAGCGATTTCTACTGTCAACTCTAACATGTAACACTAACTTGGCTGGCTTAGGGAGCTGAGGGAAATTACTCACGTGTTGTTAAGGTCAATTTACAACAATAAAGAAGTTTTTCTCTGTGCCTTTTCGCTTTAAGCATGAACAGGTGACCCGACGTGAGCCTCTGTATTCTAAAGGCAAGGCAGGACGGCAGTGAACCTTACTCTGATCGAGAATGAAGGCTGCATTGCTCTGCGCCACTTCGTAGCCCTGTTCGGCCAGCAGGAGGTACTGGATCACGGCGGCATTGTAGTCGCCGTCTTTATAGCTGTTATAGGCCATCATAAGCCTCTCGGACCAGCGGCCTCGTTCACAGACGTTCTTAAACAACTGGGAGAACAGGGGGGAAAAAAAACCCGTAACAAAATAAGGAACATATCCCAGAAAATCAGTTTTGCACTTTGGCTATAAGTGACTGCGGGGTTACCTCTCTGCATCCCTGGTAGCTTTATTAAATACATACACAAGTCTGGGATTTTATTTGAAGTTTTCAGTTAGTCTTTAGAAGAGGTTTATAAAAATAACAGTAAACAATTATATACCATTACCCTTGCCAGGCACTGTTCTAGTGCTTGCTTTATGTACAGTAGGTACAGAGTTTCCCTTAGAGCTCCCATGAGGTCATGGGGGCCACTCCATGAGGTAAGTCCTATTAAATAGTGCCCCGTTTCACAACCAAGGAAACTGAAGCACAGAGCAGTTTGGAAATTGTGCCAAGCATTCATCAAATGCCACTGTGAAGTGCCAGTTATGAAAGAGCTAAAAGGAAAAGCTCCCTTTGGGAGACATCAGCATTCCCCTTTACAACATTCATTCAACACAGACTTTTTTGGTGTTGTTTCAGATGCTTTCTAGGTGCTAAAGAAACTGCAGACACCACCACCTGTCCTCATAGATGCGGATTCTAGTGGGGAGAGACACATGAGATAAAGAAGCATGACAGTGACACACAGGCCCTGAGTCTTCCCTCACTGTATCAAAACTAATAGGTTGAGTCTGTTTCTACTTGAGAAAAAATCATGCAAAAAAAGCAGAATTAAAACGACAGATTTTCCTCTTGAGAAAATTAATTTCCTGTGTACAAGTCAGTAGAAAAGCCCTTACCTCCACTGCAGTGTGACACGATCGCATCACACCTGTGCCGCTGGCGTGCATCTGGGCTAGGTTATAGAAAGCCAAGATGTGGCCTCCCTGAGAAGCTAAATTAAAATACTTCAAGGCCTGTTTATAATCCCTCTTGACTCCAATGCCATCTGTAAGGAAAATCACACGAGAGGTCAGAAATAGTCTTAAAGAAGATTTAGCTGAAGCACCAGAGAAGCCTTAAATAATGAGTAAAATCAAATGAAATTCAGAATTCTTACTCAGGAAAGATGTGAATCCTACTAATGCAGTTTAGTATATTATACAGATTAACATAATTTACAATGAAAAACAAGATGCACAATCATTGAATTGGGAGAATATTAATCAGCCAGAATGCGAGAGCTCTCATTTATCACAGTGGCATCTGGTGGAAAATTAGTAATTTAGCTGTCGGTATACACAGCGTTTAATGCCAACGTTACTTACTATAGTACATAGAGCCAAGCTGCAGTTGCCCATCCACCCAGCCTTGTTCAGCAGCTTTCTGGAAATACTTTAGTGCCAGATCATAATTCTGTAGGAAAAGAGGTCACATGGTCACACGATGAGAAAACTCAAAAGGTTGATATACTCAGAAGTTAGTCATTCATTAAAAAGTTAAAAAAACACATATAAGATATTCTCAAAGAGCCATTAAAAAGACTACCTTCTAATTTTTTTATAATATACAGATGGTAGTCTATGTCACAGAGGAGTTAATATATTTAAGACTGTGAACAATCTGTATGTTCACTCTCAGAAAGCCTACACAACGCTAGTTCTGGTTCTTTGGAGAAACCTTGGAACACAAGACCAGGACTTAAGAAACACTCTTATCTTTCCTATTAACCAACATATCTTTTTTAAACTTCAATTTTTCTAACATTAAAAAAGGAAAATTATTTTCTCCTTATTCATTCTTTCCCTGTGTAGCTTATCAAGCACTATCTGATTATTAGATTTCAAATATCATAACTATCCTCTGAGAAAAATTAAAACAAAGATCACTACTGAATTTTAGTGTCCTAAAATGACTAGAAGGAATCAACTTGAGAACACACTACTGTCTTCTGTGCCAGGGAACACCTACAGATTGGAATCCTAAACCTAACTCTTCATGGCAGGCCCAAATTAAATACATTTTACTTGGAGAGATCATAGAGAAGAGGGCAGCAATGAGAATCTCGGGGCATCCAACATGAGGAAGTAGTACAGAAGAATGAGAAGCAATGGCCTAGGAAAACCAAGAGAACTTGCAGAATTCCAGGGAAGAAAGAGTTCAAGTGACATAGAACCAAAAAGTCAATAGGAGTTGACATTTGGGAAGTTACTGGTGACCTGCATAGAGCAGTTTCATGAAGCAGAAGCCTGACTGCTGAGACCTGAAGAGTGAGTGGTGGCCACTAATATAGTTCATTGTTTGGAGAAACCTGGCTTTGTAGTGACGGACTGGAGAGAAGAGAGGTAGTAGCTAGAAGGGCAAAGAATAGAACAGAAAGCTTTTGTCCTTCTAAATGGGAGGGACAAGCACTTTCTCAGGCTCGAGTGAAGAAATAGGGAGGGAGAAGTCTTGGAGAGATGGAAGCATAGGTAGGGCAGATAGCACAGACAGAATGAGAACTAGCTTCACATCTTTAGCGGAAAGTGTCAGAGACAGAGCCATTCGAAGAAGGCAGTTAGTATGGAGGGTGCTGGGTACTCAGAGAACAGGAAAATGTTCAGCTCTAGACATAAAGGAAGGATTTCAACCCGGCTGGAAGCTAGCTAGTTAAACTTCCCTACCTCACCAGCTGACTGCTTGTTTAAGTCAGAATGTTAAGACTGAAAACTTACAACTTGAACTCCTCTCCCATAGAGGTAAGCCATTCCGAGTCCACTCTGTCCGACTGGGTTTCCCTGCAAACCAGAGACAAAAGAGGGAAAGGACTCATTAAAAAACAAAAAAAAAAAAACCCCAAACAGCCAAGAATAAATGACTACCAAAGAAATGAGTTACAAGCATATTCAAAAAATGTCTTTGCATTTTTTCAATTCAAAATTCTCCTTCCCAGCAGGCTAAATGTAATACTGACTTTCAGAGTATTGGTGGGTCTTCAGTAATTTGCTGAAAAAGAGGAAACAGTACATTTATCTAGAATTAAATTTTGGTGACTTATCTTATGACCATCTGTTCCATGAGTTTATGATAGAACACATGACTAATGTAGTTCTTCTTCTTAAAATTAAAAGTAGGTCACTTTTTGGGTAGTTTTTCATTGGTAACTTCCCTCCCCAATAAAGAAGGAAGATGCCATGGTGGAAAGTCAACCACCATGTAAAACAGCAATATTGGGACCAGGTGGCAAAATACACTTAAGATTACTGGAGTGTCACAGAACAAAGATAATCATTGTTTTGAGACCTGAAAGAGAAAAATCCAAAATTCAACCTAAACTTGGACGGACAGGGCCATCTTTTAAAAAGTGTCACAGCACTCCCTTGGGAAATACTCAACTGACATTTGGAACTGAAGTGGTATGTAGCTGGTGAGGAGAAAAGCATACACAATGGAGGCATATAGGGTCTTAAATATTCATATGTAGTTTTCTCTGGGCCAAAGAAAGCCTAAGTTTTATATTTATGATTATCGAAAGTACCCAGTTATGTAAGTTTTAAACCTCAAGTTGCAAAACAAATAGGGCAAATTATAATAACTCTCAATTGCATTACTAAAATCAGTATTTCCCTGATGAGGAAACTTCTCAATGAAATTGAAACAGAGGCTTAATACTCAATAATTTGTCCCCCCCCCCCAAATAAATTACTTTTTACTGGAAAGTTTTTTTTTCTAGCCAGTCCATTCCCATGAATCACATTTACATAAGTGCTTTCAATAATTTGAGGCATGAGTTGGTTAACACTAATCTTTCAGTATAATAGACTTATTTATTAAAATAATAATAATATGGCACATATTTCAATACACTGAATCATGAGGTCTTACCATGTCAGCAGCTTTCTTAAAGTAGTGAAGAGCTGTCTCATTACTCTGTGGTACAATATCACTTCCCTCTGAATACATCTGGAAAACAGAGCCTAATTTTATTAAGCACTATACCCCTCTCACCTATAATGTATTTCTCTCTCATCTCATTCTGGTTTTTGTTAGATATCATGAAATCTTTGAACAGTTTAAAATTCCCCATATGACATTTTATTTTATTTTTTTAAAGATTTTATTTATTTGAGAGAGAGAGAATGAGAGAGAGCGAGTACATGAGAGGGGGGAGGGTCAGAGGGAGAAGCAGACTCCCTGCCGAGCAGGGAGCCCGATGCGGGACTCGATCCAGGGACTCCAGGATCATGACCTGAGCTGAAGGCAGTCGCTTAACCAACTGAGCCACCCAGGCGCCCCCCATATGACATTTTAGATTTAAAAGCAAAACCTTAAAAGTAAAGAATAGTATTATATCTTCTTTGCCATAACAAATTTGACTTTTTTACAAATGTGAATATATTAAAATCAGTTCATAGATCAATCTCAGGGGAGAAAACCTTTAACTCAAGGTGAATCTTTTCTCTCACTCTATCCCAGGGCAGTCAAATGGTTGTTGAGTTGCTTGGGGTCAGTGCAAGAGAAACGGGTGCTGTTGGCAATGCCCACTTCCCTCTCTCTTCCACCATGACTTCCCTCAGGGTAAGATACAGGATAGGTCTTAAGTTCAGGAAAAGAAATAACTAAAAGGTTATTTTAAAAGGTTTCAAGCACTGAATGATTAGAGTACCAGGTACAGAACATGATAAAATGGCCAAGAGAAAGAAGAACAGAATGACTGAGACTGTTTTCATCCACGTATACATTAAGAAAACGGAAATGGAAATCTTTTTTTGAGATAGGGTTAATTAGGAATTCAGAGCAAGAACTGAAAGGGCTAGAATGGAAAGTTCTTAAAGGCTTAACAAAAACAGATGGGGAATACTAATTTCGATGCTATAATAGTTGGGATGTCTACATGTACGGTTCTCAGGCCCCAAATAACTGGTTGTGATTATGTGGCAAATACTGATGAGATTTTTTTTCTATTTGTAAGAACCTTTGTGACAGATTTATTCTACCTGAGCATCCTAACCTTAGGATTTGGTTATGGATGTAAATATCCACTGATGTATACTGTATTTGTTTTCAAAATAATGAAAAAGGAAGTTCTGAAACGGTGCCATGTCACATGGAATCTACTTGTTAGGTCTCCAGACTTCGGTGTTTCCTTGCTTAGAAAAGAACCACACTGACAGGTGAGTGATGGCTGTCACACTGAGGATGATTAAAGCCTGCAGACAAATGCTGACAAACTCTAGTGGCCTCTACTCAGCACAGAAGAAAACAGGCAATTATGACAGACTTAGCAAAAAAAAAAACTACTGCACAGCAAAAAGAAAAAAATCCCTCATTATTGTGTATGATACACACAAAGTAGGAGCTCAGTGATAGCTAATTTCAACAGAAAATTAACATACTGATGAGGAAATGCTGTTTCCCTTATGTTACCTAAGAAAATGCCTCGAAATCACTTACCTTACCACAAGACACGATATCCTTGTATTGGAAATTTTATTTCCAGTTTATTTTTGGTAAACTGTAGATTGTAACTACAACATGTTTATTTTTTTTTAAAGACTTATGAAAAATAGAAAAAAATTTTATTTTTGTTGTTTTTTTTATTATGTTATGTTAGTCACCATACAGTACATCATTAGTTTTTGATGTAGTGTTCCATGATTCATTGTTTGCGTGTAACACCCAGTACTCCATGCAATATGTGCCCTCATAAATACCCATCCCCCCACCCCTCTCCCCTCTAAAACCCTGTTTGTTTCTTGGCGTTCTTATTCTCTCATGGTTCGTCTCCCGCTCCAATATCCCCCCTTCATTTTTCCCTTCCTTCTCCTAATGTCCTCCATGCTATTCCTTATATTCCACATATAAGTGGAACCATATGATAATTGACTTTCTCTGCTTGACTTATTTCACTTAGCATAATCTTCCTCTAGTCCCATCCATGTTGATGCAAAAGTTGGGTATTCATCCTTTCTGATGGCTGAGTAATATTCCATTGTATATATGGACCACATCCTCTTTATCCATTCATCTGTTGAAGGGCATCTCGGCTCTTTCCACAGTTTGGTTATTGTGGACATTGCTGCTATGAACACTGTGGTGCATATGTCCCTTCTTTTCACTACATCTATATCCAGTAGTGCAATTGCTGAATCATAGGGTAGCTCTATTTTTAATTTTTTGAGGCACCTCCACACTGTTTTCCAAAGTGGCTGTACCAACTTGCATTCCCATCAACAGTGTAAGAGAGGTCCCCTTTCTCCACAACCTCTCCAACATTTGTTGTTTCTTGCCTTGTCAATTTTTGCCATTCTAACTGGTGTAAGGTGGTATTTCAGTGTGGTTTTGATCTGAATTTCCCTGATGGCTAATGATGATGAATATTTTTTCCTGTGTCTGTTAGCCATTTGTATGTCTTCTTTTAGGAAGTGTCTTCTCCCCATTTTTTGACTTATTTGTTTTTTGGGGGTTGAGTTTGACAACATGTGCTTATTATGCAAACACCTCTTGCGATTATGTAAAACAGTCACAGAACATACAGTACCTTTCCCAAGAAGGCCATCGCATGTGAATTGCCAGCATTAGCTGCTAAATTGAAGTAGTCAAATGCTCTCTGTGAGAAAAGAATTTATTAAAATAATTAGTTTTTACAGAATCTGCCTTTGGCTTTTAACCAAAATAATCATTTCGGAACATTTAAAAAATCTGGTAATATGGCAGTATCTCAGTTTAAATAGCAGCATGACATCTCTTGGTTGCTCAAGGTACCCACCCCTCTTCACGCCTAATCCACCACTGAATCCTGTAACTTTCACCACCAAATTCTGCTTGAATCCACCCATGATCCTCCACGACCACAATTCTAGGCTAAGTTACATTATCTCCCCCGGAACTTCTGGAACACTCCCCTACTTGGTCTCCTGCCTTTAGTGTTTGGTCACCCAAAGCAACAGTTCAAAACACTTAATATGCTGGTCCTTACAGCCCCTCGAAGTCTTGCAGGGGCTATACTGGCGTGATCAGACACTGTTTACCTCAGTACTGTTCAGCTTGCTCTCTGCACTCTGGTCCTTCCTGCCTCAGGACCTACACACATACCCCTCTTTCTGGCCTGGAATGATCTTACCTCCAGGCTCGACTTAAATGTCATCCATTTCTCCTCAGAGACAACTGCCACCTCCCACTTATTAACCTGTTATGGACCCTTTCATTCTCCTTAATAACAATAATCACAATTTATTACATGTCTGTTGGTGTGATTATTTAAAAAAATACCTAATATTCTAGTTCTATTAAACTTGACGCTCTGTAAGGACAAAAAGACCAAAGCTATTTTGTCTAGCATTGTATTCTGAATGCCTAGCAGTGAATAGGCGCATAGCAGGCACACGAACTATTGATGAATTAATGCAGTTATATACTGGGAACTCCTTTTATTCTTTCTGAGAAGCTGGTGAAAAAATTTATTGTTGTGTAGGCATTTCACAAGTAAGCAGCATACACCAAGGATATCCCAAAACTTGTATAAAAGGTATGCAGCAAACTTGTCATCCGGAATTATCTCACCTGACATTTTTATTAGCCAGTTCATCTGGCCTAATGACATACATTTGAATGACCTAAAGATAATGAAAGCAGTCAAAATGCCATCTGAATTAAAAAAAACAAACCATGGGTATTTGGTATAGTTTTAAGTGACAAGTGTATTTTATGATCTACTTCTTAAAGCTGATGAGATATGGAAATGAAATAACCTTAATTAGAATGTTTAACTGTTATGGCAGAATAACATTTATCAAGAACTCATTATGTGCTAGGCATCGTCAGGTGCTGGGAATAAAGTGGCAAAGTCCGTGTTCTTTTGCAACTTAAGTTCTAGCAGAGGAAAAAACTTAATTACATAATTGGCAAATTTACAATGGGTAAGGGCCATAAATACACATTTTCAGAAATTTTAACTGTGGTACATGACCTATTCCTGGAGTGGGGTTAGGAGACTAGAGAAACATTTTAGGGGAAGAGATTGGAGATGAATTCTGGAGGATGAGTAGGAATTAGCTACGTAAAGAAAGGAGGTGGGATAATATTCACTCTAGACAGAGGGACTAGCATTCCAGAAATACTGAGATAGTTTCTTCATATTTTCAAAGACCTGAGAAAAGGTAAATGTGCCTGTGACTCAGAAAGCAAGGGAAGGGAAACAGAGACTGGTACAAATCCTGGAAATCATGTTAAATAAAGGTTTTGGTTTTTAAGCAACTGATAATCACGGACCACTCGAGTTTTAAGCAAGGGAACCACAGAATTAGGTGTGTGGTTTACAAACATAGGCTGCTGCTTAGGAAATGCAAGCAGGAGATGACTACAAGTGGCAGGTGTACTGATGGATACAAGGGAAGAGATGAGCAAGATTTAGGGCATAAAGCACACAAAAGCTGGGTACAGATCTGACTGCTATAGTTGTATACTCCTAATTTCTCACAAACTCAACAATGACTTTTCCTCGGTTCCATGAAATTTTTTTTTTCAAAGATTTTATTTATTTATTCATGGGTGGGGAGGGAGAATCAGGCTCCCCAAGGAGCAGGGAGCCGGATGCGAGGCTTGATTCCAGAACCCTGGAATCATGACCTGAGCCAAAGGCAGACATGTAACCAACTGAGCCACCCAGACACCCCTGAAATATTTTCTAATAGGAGTTTTAAGACGTACTTCTACTACATAACCATAGGAAACCAAGATACTGTGTATGTATTTTTGGCAATATTGAGAACTAGGTTTCAGAATTTAAAAAACCCTTCCCACAACTATGAGGTATAAGCACATTTTTAGTCTTCAGTTTTCTCAGGGGTTAGATGGATCTTGAAAGATCATTTGTGATGACTAAGTAACATGAACTTGATATTGTCATTGATAAAAAATACATCTAGAGCACTGTTTCTTTCTACAACGTGAAGTACAAAGCCCTGGGAACAAGAAAGTTACCTGATGATTTTGTTCTACTCCACGCCCTCCGTGCAGATGCAGTTGTCCCAGACCAACCTGAAAATTAACAAAAATGAGCAAAAGTAAATGGTAGCATCTGGTGTGTCATTAAATTAGACCAGTAAGAAATCATTTGGTCATAAAAATGCTTCTCTTCAGAATTCAAAAAAGTGAAGACTTAAGTCTTAACTCCTGAAGATATTACTCTACTTAAACCTACATTTTTTAAAACCTGAAAATGCCTGCTTTTAATTACAAGGTATCTTTCTGAAATAAAGGCAAACCAAAAGTGAATTTGTCACCAATGAACTCACTCTAAAGGAAGTACTGAAGGATTTTTTTTTTTTTTAAGATTTTATTTATTTACTTAACAGAGAGAGAGACAGCGAGAGAGGGAACACAAGCAGGGGGAGTGGGAGGGGGAGAAGCAGGCTTCCCGCCAAGCAGGGAGCCCAATGCGGGGCTCGGTCCCAGGACCCTGGGATCATGACCTGAGCCGAAGGCAGACGCTTAACGACTGAGCCACCCAGGCCCCCCTTAAAGGATGTTCTTTAGAAGGAAGGAAAATTATCCTGGGAAGCCTGGCAGTAAGAAGTAAAGAGGGATGGAAAGTTAAACTTATAGGGGGAGCCTGGGTGGCTTAGTCGTTAAGCATCTGCCTTTGGCTCAGGTCATGATCCCAGGGTCCTGGGATCGAGCCCCACATGGGGCTCCCTGCTCCGCAGGAAGCCTGCTTCTCCCTCTCCCACTCCCCCTGCTTGTGTTCCCTCTCTCGCTGTCTCTCTCTCTCTGTCAAATAAATAAATAAAATCTTTAAAAAAAGAAAGTTAAACTTATGAATAAATCTAATTATATGGACTGTATACAAGAATAATATCTTGCAGGATCCAAAAATATATAGAATTATAACACATACAGAGTACTCTAAAGTTTGCATTGTCCAAGAAATGGTAAAAGTGCTCATTCATACTAGACTTTGATAAAAGAGTAGTAAAACAAAGTCCAACTATCACCTTAGTAGAGGGGAGGAGGTACAACACCAAAACACTGAAACCAAGAGAATGTAAGAAAAGACACATAAAGAAGCATGGAAAAGCAAAATGAAAGAAAGCAAGCAACATAGAAAATGTAAACACAAATATTCATTACTTTCAATTAAAAGACTGTCAGAATGGATAAAAAAAAAAGTAAAAGTAGTCCGATGATGCTTCCAAGAGACATACCTTAAACATAAGAGATGAATACAAAAGATAGAAAAGATATTCCATGTAAATACTAACCAAAAGAAAGTGGCATAGCTGGCTAGTACCAGACAAAGTACAATTTAAAGCAAAAAACAGGGCGCCTGGGTGGCTCAGTTGGTTAAGCGGCTGCCTTCGGCTCAGGTCATGATCCTGGAGTCCCGGGATCGAGTCCCGCATCGGGCTCCCTGCTCGGCAGGGAGTCTGCTTCTCCCTCTGACCCTCCCCCCTCTCATGTGCTCTCTCTCTCTCCTCTCATCCTCTCTCTCAAATAAATAAATAAAATCTTTAATAAATAAGTAAATAAATAAATAAAGCAAAAAACATTTCTGGAGATAAAAGAGGACATTTCATGATATACAAGCTAGTTTAACAAAAAGATAACAGTATTAAGTCTATATGCAATCTACATGGCCTAACATACATAAATCAAAATTGATAGAAATACAAGAAGACACAGACATATGCACACCAAGGGGGCAATTTAAACAATACTGTCTCAGCACTGGACAGAAAAAGCAGACAAATTCAGTAAGGATTCACAAGATTTGAACAACAGGATTAAGAAACATAACTCAATTGACACATAAAGAACACTATACCCAAAGACTGTAAAATTTATATTCTCTTGGGCGCCTGGGTGGCTCAGTTGGTTAAGCGACTGCCTTCGGCTCAGGTCATGATCCTGGAGTCCCGGGATCGAGTCCCGCATCGGGCTCCCTGCTCGGCAGGGAGTCTGCTTCTCCCTCTGACCCTCTTCCCTCTCGTGCTGTCTCTCATTCTCTCTCTCTCAAATAAATAAATAAAATCTTTAAAAAAAAAAAATTTATATTCTCTTTAGCACACGAAATTTGCCCAAACAATGGATCATAAAGCAAGTCTCAGGAAATCCCACACAAATGAAATCATACATAGCATATTCTTATTTTATTTAGATGCAGGCTCCCCGCTGAGCAGGGAGCCCAACATGGGGCTCGATCCCAGCACCCTGGGATCATGCCCTGAGCTGAAGGCAGACGCTTAACCAACTGAGCCACCCAGGAGCCCCAGGGAGAGGGAATCTTAAGGAGATTCTGCAATGAGTGTGAAGCCCGACACAGCGCTTGATCTCACAACCTGAGCAAAAACCAGGAGTCAGATGCTTAGCTGACTGTGCCCTCCCAGGTGCCCCATACAGAGAATATTCTGACCACAGTGGATTAAGCTAGAAATCAACACAAAGGGTAAGTAATAAATCTCCCATTTATATGAAAAACTAAGCAATGCACTTCTAAAATTACACATGGGTCAGAAGAATCACAATGAATATTAGAGCTAAATATCATGAAAACTATGACAGCAGGGAAATGTATTCTATCACATATCAAGATCTATAAAGTATAGAAATTTAAGACAGTACTGATGCACAAGACATGCAAGAGAATATGCACAGAGCATTATTTGCAATCGCCCAGATCTGGGAAGAGTAAAATGGGTAAATAAGCTGTGGGATTTTTATACAATGAAATACTACAGGGCAATGTAAATGAATGAATTTCAGCTACATGAAAACACATGGATTGATTTCATAAACATAATGCTGAGCAAAAGAAGCTGATACCAAAAAATGCTGTATGATTTTTTTTTTTAACGTAAAATTCAAAGCCAGGACAAACTGATCCATAGTGGTAGAAGTCAGCTCAGAGGGCAACCCACCGGGCGGGCGGGGGCCGCTGCTGGGATGCTAGCTATGCTTCACAGGAGGCTCACCTGGTGCTCAATCAGGGGGGCTGTAGGCTTCCGATTTTTATACTTTTCTGTATTAAGGTTGCAATTCAAGTAGTAAAAAGAACAAAATGATATACTATACCACATATGGATTTTTTTAGCTTGAGTTTTCCACTGAATACACTAAAGTCAGCTTTCCATAGTAAGTAGTATTCTACATAATTTTTAATGGTTGCATAAAATTCCATACATGGAAGTGTCATAATTGAGCTAAATAATTCCCTATTTTGGGGCTTTTAGATAGTTTTGAATTTTAACTGGCCTCTGATGTAAAAGACAGATGTTTAATTAGACAAGATAACTTTATTAAAATTTCTATGAGCTAAGATTTGGATCTTTCACCATAGTTTTTTTTTTTTTTAAATCATAAGATTCCCTTCTGTTAAGTCTTAAAATCAATTGTTCTTAAAAAGTATCTAATACTCATGTCTCTATGTGTCTAAATCAGAAAAGACCTGTAAACTGCATAGAAAAAAAGGGAAATGTTGAAGTCCTCTTTTTTATTTCAGGATTATCAAATAACAAATTATACACGGTACTTTGATGGATATACCATTACAATTTACATTGAACAAGGTTACTTCTGTCCTTGACCTTGAGGAAATTATGGTCTAAGATGAGCAAAGGAAACATGAACAGTAAATGGCTCTGAAGGGCATCTGAAATTCCAAATGTTCCAGAGACTTTTTGTTGAAAGAAAGTGGCAGTTTTCATCCTTGGTGACTCCAATAAGAGCCTTCATCATCAAGACACTGCTCTGTTCAAGCAGTGGTTTCCAACCATGGTGCAATCGCCTGGCCAGCTTCTATGAACTATCAATGCCTAGCCTACAACCTCGATGCATCCAAATGGAAATGTCTTGACAGTATGAGACTCTTGGTACTTTTAAAAATAATGCTACTCAGGTGATTCTAATATGCAGTTAATAACGGCTCAGAGCAATGGAAATGTTTCTTATGGATGTAAGTGCTTGCCCCACGACTGTTACAACGCAGTGACAAACATCATGAGATGTTAAACACATACCTGCGCTTGTACATCACCTTTTTCTGCTAGGAACTGATAGTATTGAATCAAATCTTCTTCCAGCATTCCACTATTCATTCCTGGATTTTCCACCTCGTCAGGCAGCCGTATTCTCTGTACTACTGAGCCTCCTGTCAGCGAGATATCACTAGCAACTAAACAGGGCGATGAAGTAATTAACATGGAGGAAGGTCAGAAGGATTGTTCCACAGAAGGAAGTAGAATTTCAGCTGCCAAACACTTACAGACACTATGCTAACAGTAATCTATAGATTACAAAATAGTAATCTATACAGACCCAGCGTTTTCCACAAAATATTTAGTAAGTGGAATCCAAAGTGTACATGTACGCGTGCGCACATGCACGCGCACACACACACAAAGGAGATCTTAGTCAACTAGTGTAAAGATCATTCCATTTAAGAGTCATCATGATTATTTCAAGTAGTACAACAAAAACAGATGTATTTGAAGTTAATTCCATTCTGTTTTCTGTTTCTTCTGATAAGGTGAAAGGCAAAAAAAATAGATACCATGATTGGCAACAAGACGATAGTGAGTCAGTGCTGATTCGCAACTCTGGAGGACTCCGATGCCAGCCCAGTACCGATAACCCTGTGAGACAAGCTCCAGTGAGAAGACTGCAGGTTCACACGCTTCACTGGCATTCTTGTCGGAATGAATGAAGCCACCCGCGCTCAGGACGTACTTCTGCAGTCCCTTGATCCCAGTATATTACCACCTCGTTTATCCTGAGTTTTAGGTTCTGAGGTAATTTATTCAGCAACCCCAAAAACCAGACTATAGGTAAGAACTAGGAAATAATAAAGTTCCCAAAGAAATCAAAATAGATGCCGTGAACTTTATGGATGAAATGTGCACATCTCACGTGCAAGAGAAAATTACTTAGGTTCTTGCTTAGAACACATTCTAATCTTATTTTAAACCTGATTTTAACAAAAATGGGTTAATCTACCAAACGAGGAAAGAAGCAACAAACGAGCAAAATAGGGAAGATGAGAGACTACTAGGAGCAGGCACAGTAACATGAGCAAAAAATGATTTCAGACTGAGGAGGAAGATAGCTAACTATAAAGAACAGAACAAAAAAAAGTAGAGCTCTCTTGAGTCATTCAGCACAGACTTAAATAACTTTACAATCTTTAACAATTCTTAGGGCACTACTGTATAATAACGTGTATAATATTTAATGTTCTTATTCCGTAGTCACTATTCAAGAAGATTGGTAAATAAAAAAAAAGATATTGGTCAGAAATATTTAACATATTTTTAAAAAAATTTTTTTAAATTTTATTTTATTATGTTAATCACCATACATTACATCATGAGTTTCTGATGTAGTGTTCCATGATTCATTGTTTGCATATAACACCCAGTGCTCCATTCAATACGTGCCCTCTTTAATACCCATCACCAGGCTAACCCATCCCCCCACCCCCTCCCCTCTAGAACCCTCAGTTTGTTTCTCAGAGTCCATAGTCTCTCATGGTTCGTCTCCCCCTCCGATTTCACCCCCTTCATTTTTCCCTTCCTACTATCTTTTTCTTTTCCTTTTTTTTTTTTTTAACATATAATGTATTATTTGTTTCAGAGGTACAGGTCTGTGATTCAACAGTCTGACACAATTCACAGCGCTCACCATAGCACATACCCTCCCCAATGTAACATATTTTTGCCATATAAAAATATGCTTTAAATTTCTGGAAAATTGATCTAAAAGGAACTTTTCAGTTACTGTTTGAGGAATAAATGTTACCTACCATAGACGAAAAAAGCCAATGGGAAAAAAACCTTCAAAATTAGTGAGGAATGTTTCAGAAAGTTGGAGCAACATCCTTGTTTTTCACTGGCTTAAACTACTTCAGCAGTTTATGTCTGTACAGATGAGGTCCAAGTTCCTTGGCGTGACATACAGACCATTTACGTGATTCCTGATAAGTTTCCTGATGTTCTACTCTCCAGCCACACTAAAGAGCCTGTATTTTCTTGCAAGCACCACATTCCCTCATCACTGTCCTTCTGCATATATTGCTCCTACTGTCTGAATGCCCTTCCACTTCTATTCATACTCACTGCTATTTATCCCTCAAGAATTACTTTAGTTACTTCTTTCCTCAGAAGTAACTCCTTTAACCTCTCCTTCCAACACCAGTGTAGGTTAAGTGCCTTTCTAGCTGATTCCTGTAACAATCTCCTTATTTGTATAAATTTAAATGTAAAACATAAATCAATTTTCAATGTAAAATCTGTGATAACCAAAGAAATGATTTTGACAAACATTTCCAACTTACGGAAAATAAAAAAGAGCCATTTATCACAAGGGCAATCAGCCAAAGTCATCATTTTAAAGAAAAACTGTGGACTGTGCAAATTTTCATCCATGTATAGATACAAGTGTTGTACCCATTAACAAGAATTTGAAAAATGTTCAACTGAATATTTGATCTTAATGAATATAAGTGCATCTCATTCATGAAAGCTAGAAAAGCTATGGCCCCCCTCATGAACCAAAAATTCTGCTCCTCAATGTTACTAAAGTCTTACTTACCAAAACCATGTGCGCTATTAGGTTGCCCCCGAGAGCTCCAAAAGTATAATATACGAGGGCCTGGGAAAGAACAAAATATGCTTAAGTGAACACAGGCACACATTGACCCAATTCAAATGGTAGTATACAATAAAATTTTAATAATATTACCTTTGCCTGACTTGAATTAACACCAAGTCCAGAGGCATAGAGAAAGCCAAGAGCCTGAAATAAAATGATAAAAGTAAGAATTCTTCCCTAGTGGAAGTTTATCCACAGACATAGTTTTATGAACAATGAAAAGATGCAAGAATCTTTAGATCTTGAAAGACTTGAACAATCCAATGTACAACTGTGGTTAATTGAGGAGCCTCAGAAATGCATTCAAGGTTTTACAAATTACACAATGAAATACAACTAAACAAATCAAAAAGTTTAGCTTGAAGATTAAAGACAGGCTTAATAAAATATTAATTACAAAACCAAAGCTGAACACACTTAAGCATGGCTTTTCCTTTATCTTGATCAACAGCTATTATGAGAACCAAAAAACCCCTATATCATCACATCAACGCATTACCTATCAAAGGAGAATACACAATGAAAATAGTAAGAGGCTACCAAGATAAACATCCTAGCAATAAAAAGGGGCGGCAAGGGTCATGTTGCAGGGGCAACAGAGAAAGGTCACTTCACAATGCTGAAGCACACACAATTTTTCATTACAAAAACCCCCAAAACAAAAAACTACAACCAAGCAAACAATACATTGATAAGGTTCTACCTTTGCCCACTGAGGACCATCCTTGAAGACATGAAAGTAAAAGCTAAAGTCAGAAAGGCAGGTGTATCATGTGCCAGCATTCATCAAAATCCATGAGCTCTTCTACATTTCCCAGCCACTCCCTGTCCCCGCCCCGCCCCCTCCCCGCCCTTGTACTTGGGTAGGGTCACGTGTTTAGGACGTGGCAAAGAGAGATGCAAGCCATTTTTAGGACTGGCCATTAAAAACTTTACAGAAGGGGCGCCAGGTGGCTCCGTTGTTAAGGACCTTCGGCTCAGGTCATGATCCCGGGGTCCTGGGATCGAGCCCCACATGGGGCTCCCTGCTTGGCGGGAAGCCTGCTTCTCCCTCCCCCACTCCCCCTGCTTGTGTTCCCGCTCTCTCTGTGTCTCTGTCAAATAAATAAATAAAATCTTCAAAAAAAACACAACAAACTTTATAGAAAATCCTCCAGCCCTCTCTTCTCCCTTCATGATGGCTCGAAAGCCCCATGTTTCAGATGGTACAGCTATGTGGCAGAAGTGGCCCTTGACTGAGTCAGCACTGGGAAGAGAGTGACATAGGCAGGGGAACCACATCGACCCTGGTGTGAACAAGGAGTAACTCTTTGTAGTGTTGAGCCAGTGTGATCCTGGGGCTATGTCTGTTACATCAGCTAGAATTAATTACCATGGAGAGAGCGCTTTGCAATATGCCATATAAAGCACTATGGCACTGTGGGGTGCTATTACTAGAGGGGAACGATGCCTGAGAAGTACAACCATTCTTAGAGCCAAATGTGTCTGCAGAATAAAGAATGTGTGTGTGAATTTATAAAATCTGACTTACACAAAGAAGGGAAAAAAAGCTTTGAAAACAAAGGGGGAACAATTAAGATATAACCTGTTTATAAATTAAACCAAAACTGTGTAAGAGTTGCAGACTTAGATATTCAGTCCTATAGAAAACAATGGTCACGGGGCACGTGGGTGGCTTAGTCGTTAAGCGTCTGCCTTGGGCTCAGGTCATGATCCCAGGGTCCTGGGATCGAGCCCCGCATCGGGCTCCTTGCTTGGCAGGGAGCCTGCTTCTCCCTCTCCCACTCCCCCTGCTCATGTTCCTGCTCTCTCTCTCTCTGTCATATAAATAAGTAAAATCTTTAAAAAAAAAAAAAAAAACGGTCACAATTCCTGTTATTGTTTAAACAGTCTAAAAACAGACTTCCGCTAACCGTGACTAGAAATTTTATATTTAAGCAAATCCCACACCTCCGATAAACCTGAATTACTGAGAGCACTTAAAAATAAATGTGGTGGCCTTCTAAATCCAGGTGTCAATCTTACTATTACCCATGCGAAATCAAGCAGAGAATATTTATCAATTGGTGTGATGTGATATGGGATGCAGAACATCCCCTTATAAGGCTGTCTGAGCCAAAAATACTTGACTTTAGTTCATCAGCCTTTAGCTGTGATATCCTCTATGGGAAATACAAATGATGAAGACCCCAAATAAAGGACAAAAGGAAGAAGCAAACAGACAAACTAAGAAGGCCATTTTGCAGAACAACTGGCCCTATCTCGGGCACAGACAAGAAAGAAAGGCAGGGACTCTCCTAGCATTAACAACCAAACAGAAGGTGTAGTCCTGGACTGGATAGTGCTTTGGACAAAACAGGGATAAAGGAAATGTTTTGGTTCTATGCCTTATGAAGACAGTCTGGGTGTTACATCTACTGGACTGGAATGATGAGGGCTATTTATCGAAAGAGCAAGGAAGGGAACAGTAGACAGTGACATCTCATTTTAATAAGAAGTTCACATGTATAAATACACAAAGAGAAAGGTCAAGAAGGGTGTGCATGCATTAACATGTTACCAATGTTCAGGTCTGTGTGGTACAGATATGATGTTTTCTTTCTTAGCTTTTTTTTTTGTATTTCTAGTTTCTTATAATGAACATGTACTGCTTCTGTAATAAAATATATTTTTTAAAAAAACACCAAGATTACCAAAAGCTGGAGCATCTGAACTTTGGAAAAAAGGCAATGGGGAGTGATTTCAGATAAAAAAATAATTACCTTTATGTTTCATTCTGTACAGATTGAATTTGGAAAACTACAAGTATAATTGTGGTAAGATGCAGCTGCAAAAATGCCTTAGGTGACCACAAGTGTTCTCACCCTGAGGAAGAAGACTGTCTGAGAAGATTGGTAAAATGATCTGCCACAGGATTTAAAGCCATTTTACCTTCCAGCCTTACTTGTTCAGGGAAGGCAGAGTATAAAGAGTAAACTACTGTGAAAATAAACAAGTGCTGTGTGCCAAGAGATTCTGCAATGAAAGTACACTTACAGTTTGTCCCTTAGGGGAGCCTTCTTCAGTCAGTTTCTCAAACATCTCTTTAGCTGCCTGGATATTCTGTGTCAGGTAATCACCAAACAAAAGAGCATATGACACTCTCTCCACGGCCTTGGTATGATTCATGCCTGCTGCCTTTTGAAGATACCGATATGCTCTTTAAACATAAGCAGTTAAAACAAAAACAAACACATTAGCAATATTTTGGAACTCCCATTAAAATTTTTACAGAATCTGGGGTGCCTGGCTGGCTCAGTTCGAAAAGCGTGTGACTCTTGATCTCGGGGTCGTGAGTTTGAACCCCAATTTGGGTGTAGAGATTACTTAAATAAAAAAAAAAACTTAAAATAATTTTTGTTTTTTTTCTTTTACAAAATCTACTAAAATGCAGAATAAATAATTTTCTTATTCTACAGAATCCCTCTGATATTTGATTTCCACTAAATTATGTTACTTATATATGTAGAAAACATTCTGGGCTACTTTTCTTTTTATGTAAGGTACCAGTTCTGTTATTCCAATATTTTAGAACAGTCTAAGAATGAGAGAGAATTATAATAATGTAGTATCTAATAAATAATCCAATGATAACCACTGCAATTTTCTTTTAAAATCTTTGCACAGACTATAACAAAAGTCAGCTGAAATTAAGGGACATAAAATGTTAAAAGACAGTCAACTGAACTTTATGTTCTTTCCAAATTCCTAAATTCTAGTGTTTGTCTGCAAGATAATTACAAAGCAAAAACAAAAAAACACCTGACAACAATTCCTTTTGTTTTATGTCATTTTGAATTCTGAATAGTACACATATTCTTGGCTCTTAGAAACTATTATAAATTTTAATTATTTCCATTTTGCTTATTGTTCATTCTTGTGATGAGTATTTATAATCTTTTTAGCCCGAAGAGCTGAAATCCGATAGAAGTAATGCCCCAATGTCTATAGGTCATATCAGGTTTTCTTATAATACAGCCTAAAAAAATCCTCTGTCTTTGGCAGTGCACTTAAACAAGTACTTAGTGCTTTTTATCTCAGTAATGGCCTAAGTCAGGGGAAGAATGGACTGGCAGTGCTACCTACTCTCTTTTCTGGCTTTTCTTGTTGCTTCCGTTGAGGATTTTCATCCCTGTCTGGTACATCATTTCCGCTTCCTGCATCTGCCGCCGTTTAGTGGCTTCTTCTTCAGCTAAAAAGAAAATGTCAGATGCTTTTAAATCGATTTTAATTTTAAATCAATTATTTATTAAACATCAGTATATATTCTTTCCTCTGGGTAGTTACCAATACAGTGATATGTCACTATTTCGCAGTCTGATTTTAAGGACACATGCTTTTATGTGTGGCCTTATCTGACTAAAGTTAAGACTTTTTTAAAAAACAATAAAACTCATTAAAATCACTTCCTTGTAAAGAAAGCTGTATCAACCTGTTTTTGGAAAGTGCTTTTCTGCTAGTAATTCTAAAACTTTTTATATAAGTCAACTAAAATTCCAGTAGAGCCTTATGATTATATGCAAAGGTGAGCTAAAATTGAAGAACAAGAGAACAATAAAAAAACGTGGCTATTAAGGAGGGTACTACTGCATGGAGCACTGGGTGTTATACAAAAACAATGGATCGTGGATCACCACATCAAAAACCAATGATGTATTGTATGGTGACTAACATAATAAAATTAAAAAAACAAAAACAAAAACAATAGTTAGGGGTACCTGAGTGGCTCAGCTGTTAAGCGTCTGTCTTTGCCTCAGGTCATGATCCCAGGGTCCTGGGATCAAGCCCCGCATCGGGCTCCCTGCTCAGCGGGAAGCCTGCTTCTCCCTCTCCCACTCCCCCTGCGTGTGTTCCCTCTCTTGCTATGTCTCTCTGTCAAATAAATAAATAAAAAAATCTTTAAAAACAAAACAAAACAAAAAAATAGTCAGAAAAAATACTGTTGTAGTCAAAGGACACTTTAGCCTCACCAGAAAGGCTGTGTCTTTACAAGGAGAAAATATGTGACTAATTACATAATGAAAAATTAGTTGAAAAAAAGGATTTTTATTAAATATAGATTTTGATTTAATAGTCAAGATTCTGTTTTTTCCTATGTACTGATACAACACTGAAAATCATAGCATTAGATTTCCCCAAAATTATTTTGCTACTGTTAGAAAGCATTTTAACAGAAATCTAAAACTCATCAAGAGACATTTGAATATTTCATTCGGAGTTATTTATAGAAATAGAAGTGACTTCTTGTAATATAAAAACAAAATTTGATGTATTAAACAGGAGTACCTAATTGTACTGGCCCACATCCAAAGATGGACTATATTTGACTATCTCTAAGGAATGCCTAAATATTCTATCAGAGCCATTATTTTGAAAATGTCATCTGGCATCAAAAGAGGTATGTTCAAGATTTTCTTTGTTCTTTAACAGAAAGTTCTTCCCAAAAACATAGCTTGCCTTCAGAGGCAAAACTGACATTAACATTTAGGGCAGTTAAATATACTGTATCTGTCAAATATTACCTTAGCACAGAATATTTCACTCAAAGTATTTTAGGAAAAGTTTTCAATTAGCAATAATTGCACCTCGGATAAACCTCATTGGTTACAATACTGCCACTGCGCAAAGCTCAAAGTATTTTAAAAATGGAATATTATGCAGCCATCAAAAGGAATGAGATCTTGCCATTTGCAACGACGTGGATGGAACTGGAGGGTATTATGCTGAGCGAAGTAAGTCAAACAGAGAAAGACATGTATCATATGACCTCACTGATATGAGGAATTCTTAATTGCAGGAAATAAACTGAGGGTTGCTGGAGTGGGGGGTGGGGTGGGAGGGATGGGGTGACTGGGTGATAGACACTGGGGAGGGTATGTGCTCTGGTAAGCGCTGTGAATTGTGCAAGACTGTTGAATCACAGATCTGTACCTCTGAAACAAATAATGCAATATATGTTAAGAAAAAAAAAAAGAAGAAGAAGGTAGCGGGAGGGGAAGAATGAAGCGGGGGAAATCGGAGGGGTAGACGAACCATGAGAGATGATGGACTCTGAAAAACAAACAGGGTTCTAGAGGGGAGGGGGTGGGAGGATGGGTTAGCCTGGTGGTGGGTATTGAGGAGGGCACGTTCTGCATGGAGCACTGGGTGTTATGCACAAACAATGAATCATGGAACACTTCATCTAAAACTAATGATGTAATGTATGGGGATTAACATAACAATAAAAAATTTTAAAAAAGGTATTATCTATTTTTCTTCTAAGTACTATTAATTAACCTCAGCATAATGTTCTGTTTTTATTGCCAAAAACCGTTTTACGTTAATTAATTTAGCAGCCTGCCTGAGGGTTTGCAGAACAACCTGAGCACACCAACAGAAAATCATCTCTAAATAAAACACAAGTGTGATAAACTGGCCAAGTGATAGCCTGGAAGTGAGTATACTGCATGCTTCCTGCTCTTAAGTCCATTCTTTAAGACTATATCTATACCACTGACGGGGACCACTTCTGACCAAGGTGGGGAAAGGATGGCTAGAAAAAGGCCTTAAAAATGTTGTCTGAGACATAAAGCAATGTGGACATGCCTCCTACTGAGCAATACTTACTTTCACAAAAGCCCCACTTTTCATCTGCCTTGTAGTCATAGGTTGTAGCACACCACAATCTACCATCTTCCCTCCCATCTGATGTACATTCGTCATACTCCTTATCCAGGAACAGAAAAGGGAAGTGGCAGGGCTCCCCATGTGCTGTGCCTTCAATGGCGGTCAGAGCTGAAAAGAAAAGAAAAAACTCTAAACACGAATAGCACTTCTGGTATCCATGGACTTAATACTGTCAATTCTAATGATCAGAATTTGAAGACAAAAATACATGATTTGAAATGGGGAACATGAAAGAGTCAGCATCAATTTTCTTTAGGATGACTTAAGGATAGGTCAACTTAGTGAACATGGCTGGCTTAGTGTACATGGCAGCTCTGTATCTAGCTTAGAATTTCTGAAGGTCTTAAGATCTGATAAAGCTTAGGGGCACCTGGGTGGCTCAGTCGTTAAGCGTCTGCCTTCGGCTCAGGTCATGATCCCAGGGTCCTGGGATCGAACCCCGCATCGGGCTCCCTGCTCAGCAGGGAGCCTGCTTCTCCCTCTCCCACTCCGCCTGCTTGTGTTCCCTCTCTCGCTGTGTCTCTGTCAAATAAATAAAATCTTTAAAAAAAAAAAAAGATCTGATAAAGCTTAGAATGTTAGAAGTCTACCGTAAAACTCCTGGCTAACTAGTGTGCAAAAATAAGGCAAATGCAACCAGATCAATTCCACTGCTCAGCACAATTCCCCTTTTTTCTATCTGAATGTTATAGTCAGTTTCTTTAATAGTATAAAGCTATACAGGGAAAATGCTCCCCCAGGTAAAGTTCACCACTCACATACACTTCAGCATTTTATCAGAGCACATATGATATCTGCTGAGGTTCTTTCTTTACCATACTCTTGTCCCACTAGACCCTGAGCTTGTTAAAAGTAGAGGCCGTATCTCTAATTTGTTCTTAAGCTCTTTCTATCTTCTAGGTGCTCGGAATTATGCCAGGTGCTGGAAACAAGGTGGAACAGAGGTCTCTGCTCTATACAACTTAGCACCTCTCCTGTCGGGAACTGAGGTTTACCACTGAACTTCACGGGCGTGTAGGAGTAGAGGGTGGATGAATTGCTTCAGGGTGGGGTGGCAGAAGTACTGTAGACAGAGGGAACCATGTGTGCTAAGAATCAAATGAAAGACAGCACAGCACTTTAGAAAAAAATACAAAAAGTTCAATACGTTAGAACATGCAGTGTGAGTGCCCACAAAGAAGCTAGACTATGAATGTCCTGATAAATCTGATTAAGGAGTATGGACTTTATCCTGAGAACAACGGAAACTCACTTAAGAGTTTTAAACAGGAGTGATATGCTCATACTTACATTTTTATTAAGGGAGTGGACAACGGAATAGAGAAAAGGCTGGATGCAAGGCGACCAGTTTACAAGTTGTGACATTAGTCTAATTGAGAGAATGGTAGCCTGAAGAGGATAATGGAATGAAAGAAGTGGATGTACTCAAGTGATGCTAAGGAAGTACATATGGTACCACTTCCTGATCGACTAGATGTGCAGATGATAAGGGAGGAGTCATGGAAGGTTCCCAGGTATTAAGGCTTCAGGAAGTGAGGGGATGGCTGTCCTTACTAGGAGAACACTAAAGGAGGAGTTGGTTACTGGGTAGGGATGAAATGGATCAGGGTAGAGACAAGTTAAGCTTTGATTCTGCTACATTCAAAGTGGTTTTAACAAACAAAACCAAAAACAAGATGTCTTAGACATCTTTTCAGCTGTGGTCAAAGAGGAAGTTCTCCAGTTCACAGACTGGAAGCCAAGAGTACACATAAGAATACCAAGTGAGAAGTACATGAGAAGACCAGAAGGCCACTGTTGAGCCCAGAACCATACACGGTTAAGTGTGAGTACATGTCAACTTCCACGGGTTGCTTTTACATGGAGAACGTAATCAGGCAGCAGAGCTTAGTGATTAAGAGTACAGATTCTGGAGACAGAATGCCTGATTCAAACCCTACCACTTACTAGCTGTACACTTTGAGCAAATTCCTTAATCTCTCCCCTTATCTGTAAAATTATCTACAGATAACTTCCTTATCTACAAATAGGGATAAGAGTCCTTGCTGCAGAGCGTTACTCACAAAGATGAACTGAAATAGTACACCTAAAGGACCCACCATGGTGTCTGCCACGTAAGGTAATAGGCCTTCAAGAGATGACACTGCGACTATCACAGGAGCTCCTGCTCTGAAAGCGCAGGAAATGGACGCTCCTTCTTGCCTGTGCAAAGAACTCATACTAATTTGAAAACTATTTTCAGTAAGTTATGAAAGGCAAAATTAATTTCAAACTGTTTGGCACCAGGTAAATGTCATTCACCATCCTGGTAATCACTGACCAGAAGAGGCATACTTTGATTTGTCTATGTTTATAAGAAACAATCTTTAGTACAAAAAAGCAAAGTCTCTTTAGCAACCACCTCAGAGGGGTCATTTTAACTAGAGTCTGAAAAACGGCTCTCCTATGCACTGCTACTAGATTCAGGTTTGCTTGAGAAAAATAGTACCTGTAAAATAGCAGTTTGTAAATCTGAATTTCAAATTAAAATAGAATAGTTTAAAAGAATATTTTTTTTTTAAGATTTTATTTATTTATCAGAGAAAGACACAGCGAGAGAAGGAACACAAGCAGGGGAAGTGGGAGAGGGAGAAGCAGGCTTCCCACTGCGCAGGGAGCCCGATTCAATGCGGGGTTCGATCCCAGGACTGGGATCATGACCTGAGCTGAAGGCAGACGCTTAACGACTGAGCCATGCATGTGCCCCAATTTTTTTTTTTTGATAATAGAAATTTTTGTCTTAAAAACAAATAGCTTGCCGTAAGAATCCTAGTTTGCGAAAACTTTCTGAGTGGTGCAAATATAAGGATTCTCTTTCATGTGATGGAACTATACAGCAGCAAAGAAACTGGAAAGAATGCAAAGGTTTTTGGCAACAAAAGGTTTTAACCTACTACTGATTCAGGACTAACTTAAGTGGGAAGAACCCCCAGGGTTCACCATGGTTCACCAATTTAGTGAGAGTGAATCTTGGTCTAAAGAATGTGTTTATTAGAAAGTAACTAGAAAGACAATTTGTATCTCTCAGGTATCTTCTCCAAGCAAAATCACAACAGGGAAATTACTACTGCCTTTTAAACTTGTTTTAAAGTCTTCTAAAAGTTACTGACTTTGACTTGCCAGTTCCAAGTCAATTATCTCAAGTAGATAGTCCTCACAATAGTGTTAATTTCAGTTTTCTTTTCATGGAGAAATTCTGCAAGAATTTCAAAGCTATCTTTTTAAAAACTGCCACAAAAATAGCACCAGCTTTAAAAACCATGGTAATCACTGCTCTGGCACAATGAAACTGACTGATCATGCAATTTAAGTTCATGATAGCCAGCAGTCAAACCTGACTCTAAAAATGAAAGGGGGAAAAATGTGTCATTAACTCAATTTTGCACCTTCCTGTAAAAACTCACAGTTCTAGATAAGGAATCATATTTTGACCCTGCAATAATGACACAATACCACAATCTATTTAAACCCTGACAGTAAGATTTTTATAACTTATGTTATATGAGAATTTGTAATAATTAACAGACTACTTTATATTTAAACTAGTAAAGAATTGCTCTTGCAAAGTTAGTAAAAATCATCCAAGAAAGCTAGAAAAAAGCTAAAAAAAAAAAAAAAGGACAACCCAAACAACAACCCCAAACCTGAAGTTATTCAGTGCTGGCCAGATTATAGGTAAATGGGGACTTTCATACTGCTGGTAGGAGTATCAATTAGTACAACCTCTTAAAGAGGGACCCTTAGGAATACCTATTAGAATTTATACCGCCCATACTTTGGATCACATTTTTCCACTTCTAAGATATTTAACTTGTAGAAATGCTCCCATAAGGATACAAAGAGATATGTATAAGACTGTATTTGTGTATAAAGATATAAAACCAACAAGCACTCAAAGGTCTGTCAACAGGAGACTGGTTAAATCAGCTACAGTGCGGCCATTACACAGAAACCTGGTATAGACGGGAGCAGGGGATCAAAAGACTGGGTGTCAGGAAGCCTTGTATTTCAAGATCTGGCAGATTCCAGAAAGCCAACAGCTAAGTGATGAAAGCATCTTCAGAGTAGGAAAAAATATGTGAGAGGTCAGAAAGATGAGGAACAAGAACTGACCAGGTATTCAGCAAAGAGAATGTGACTGGAGCAGAGTGGATTTAGAGGTCTTGAGGGGACCAGAGCATCCTGACAGTTGGATGAGAGAATGGGAAGAGAGGAAGTGAAATTAGTGAATACAGACAACTCTTTCAAAGAGCGGTAATATTAAAGGGGTGTAGGGAAGTTGGGTGATTGCTGGAGGGGGTTTTGGTTTTTAAAATATAAGCTATTACAGCATGTCTGATGCTATGGAAAGAATCCAAGAGAGAGGGAACAGCGTAAACGTTGCCATATGAACTGAATGAAATGTCCTGGGAATTGTGACACTATCTCTTCCTCATTTTCTAATGGTAAGGTCAAAAAACAAAACAAAACAAAACCCAAAAAGTCAACTTAATGATCCATAAAAACAAAGGCAAGGGACTAATTAGCTTTGCAAATTTCTCACCTTAGGAGCTTTTACACTGCCAATAAAGTCTGATATTGTACCTCTAAGTTTAGATGAGTGTTCTGTTAATAAGAAAACTACTTAATCATGCTGCTTGTTTGAAGCAATTTTGTACTTCTAAACATACAATGGTAAGTAACATTTTAGTTAAATGTATTTGTAGTAAATAGTTGAAATACAATCATTTAATGTTAAAAAGCTATCAACCTCACCAACTGTCATATAGCGTTCATCAATTTTAGTCAACACCAAGATAAAAACTCAACCAACCAACCATCAGCAAAAATCCCCAAAGTTTTAAGAACGAAACATAAGATGATTCAAAGTAAACTATACCTGAGTTAAAGCAAATGGTATAGGCCAAATAAAGAGGTATTTATTGTGGAAATATGGGATAGCAATCTCTTTGGGAAGATACCAATGTTATATAATTTGCTACAAGAGATTACTTTCACTCAGTGCTGAGAATTATTAACTACAGTTGAGAAAATATGAGGGAAGGAAGGAGAAACAAGCAGATTAAATG